ACCATCCAAGGCTGATATCTGTAGCTGGAAAACAGTTTGTTACGACTGGGGATTGAAGCAACTGTTAGTTCAAAGCGCATGTTATGTAACAAAGGGGTGTATGTTGCTAACTTTGTTCCTGTGTTATCGCCTAGCACCTGTCTTAAAAATTATCAAAAGAAAATGAATAGGAATAAACTCGTCTTAGTTGAATGGTGTAAATGGATTGAAAAATCATTATTTTCTGACGCCATTCAACCGTTGTCGTGTGAATCAGGAGGCGGCTAAAGTTGACGAGGTGTACAAACTGGAATATTAAAAAAGGAATTTTAGTATTTAGAAATAATTACTTTATCTCTTTTCATCTTACCTCTCATCACCTTATCTCCTTGGACAACGTCTTTAACTGGTAGCACATCATGTCAAAGTTCCATACATCACAGCTGCAGTTCCCTGACTAGACGAAATGTGATTAGTATTATGTTGCCTAACAACTTTCACTTACCTGTTCAGTGGCTCACAGCCCCCGAAAATGGGCTTATACTGAGCATGAACATAGAGTGTTCCGACAACGAGCCAGTCCCCGAAAATGGACACGTCAAATCTTCACATATGCCTCCCGAAAAACCTGGCATTAAGGCGCAAAATACCGCAAGAGAAATAACCTTCTCTGAGCAACTTAACATGCCCCCGAAAATGGGCCTTCTTATGACCAAGTATTGTACCCCGAAAGTGGCACTTTAGTCCGACGCTAAGTTCACACGAAAAGTAAACCTGCAATTAAAACTTGTTAGTAACCTATGCTGCTTATTCCTAAGAGTTATAGCGTGCTATAATATTACTTCAGACCACACAGAGACACTTGAGTTTTTTAAGTATTTATTTTTTCGTCATCCAATGTTACATCCTTATACTATAATAGGTAATTAAAGTTAATCCACAGGACCTAAATTAATCCACATCACCTAGGAGGGAGGGACGCGCACCTATTTGTGAAAAATTTGGCGTCCAGAGAAACTCCGAGTGTTCCTGTGTCAGTAAATGTCGACACCCCGAACATTTGAACACTCTCGGTCTCCCCGACGGTATTTTAATGCCTTTGTCTTCTGCGGCTTGCAAACGACTTAAAGAGTCGCTACCAAGCCTTGATGCTCATTTGGAGCTTTCTTCCGATTGGAAAGCCGAACTATTCCCGAGCATTCGAATGCAACACCGATGTGAAATCCGAGCCGAAAGCCGAACCGTAAGCCGAACTCTAACTACTCACTCACCTTCTATCTTACCTTGTATGGATTGCTGAAAGATGACTGCGTCTCCTCCGTGACTGCGGTATAATGGGCGGTTTTCACTACGGCGCAAGCTCAATTCCAAGTTGGCATACGCAAAAGCCGTTACCCTTTCAAATAAAAATGGCTTATGCAACTCAAAATTAAGTTCGTGGAAAAGTTCTCCGCCTACATTCACGCATGTCAACCAAGACTTGAGCTTAAGTCGTAGCAAAAATCAGCCTTATGGAAGTGCTTCCGCCGTGAAGATCTCCTCAGACGTGGTCAGAGGGTCTGGACGAGAAAAACGCTGAGGAATTAATTTGACTTCAAATTCAAACGCGATTAATGCCGAGTGATATGAACTGCCGCTAGCCGAAAATTTCCGAATTTGTCGATAAGCTTTCGTGTTATAGTCAGTCCAGACCCCCTGATTAATAGACAATAAGGACAATCGGGTGGGGAAAATCTTTATTTCAGTTTTCATGGGAGAGGGGATGGGGCTATGTGCTTATAGATATACTTATAGCTTTTCAAACATCAATGCTTTTTCAAGCATAAGAACGTTGATCTTTGAAATAGCTGTTATTTATTTTACACTATATGCTTTCTGTTCTAAGAACTCTTCTTCCTAAACCCAACAAAAGGCGAACTCCATTATTGAATGCACCGTGCATTATATGCAAAAGGCTTTGTCAAAATATGTGCAAGCCTTCAAGACTCCTTAACGGCAGTTTGGCGCGAGAATGTCGAAAGATACTCACAGTTACAGTAATTACTTAACAAATGTAAAAAATTTACACAAAAGAAACAACGTTGGAAGTTTGATCTTCGATTCGCATATTATTTGCTTTTCAGTAATTCGATGCTTGTTCCTTCTCCAAAGCTTGTTCCTTCTCCTTGTTGTTTGTAGTCGAAGGTTGCCTACGCTTACAATTTGTAAACGGTCTAAACTACCATGTGTGCATTGTCCCATAGTCCCACGCTAGCAAGTTGTCAGTACTAAGAACTGATCTACGCTCAAAGTAGTGAGCCTCCACTATCAGCTGACTTCCTGTAACTAGAGTCAAACCACTAAACATGTCAGGAGAGGCAAAAACAACCTGCTTCCAACAGTTGAATGGCTTGATTCCTCCAGTTTCCTACAATCCATGTTAGTATCTGGTTGAACCTTCAGACCGAAAATTTTTTGATCAGTCTCACTCGATTAAAGTGCTTAGCTGTATTGTAATCAGGCGACACCTTGAACAAGAATTGGCCGCACTTGAAGCAAACAAAGCGGGAGACGCGTGTAAAACAACGAAAGCCGGAGTGAAACCAAGTCGACGTCTTGCTGAAGAAGTGCTCCGAAGTAGTAGCGAAGATACCGAAGAATTAACGAATAAAATCGAAGAATAGTCGAAAATAAGCCGAAAACCGACCGAGCGAGAGCGATGTGAAAAACATACCTAAATTAAAACCCAAAGAAAAGAAATTTTGGAGGGAGGACCCACACCAGCCCCAGGGACCCGCTAACTAATCTAACTAAGTTGACGAAGGAAGATTACGACGAATGAGAAGTTTGTCAACTTATGCTTGAATTTAGAGATAAGGTTCAACCAGAGCTCTATATTACACCCCTCCTTCCCAAACCTCAAAGAATTTCACAAACCGGGTTTTTTTTAGCCTTCCATCAGCGTCTTCTAACTGACTTGTCTCCAGTCTACTCGTATGCGACGGAAATGGAGAGTAGAAGGGGGCGTTAGCCCTCTTCTTCGCTGCCTTTCACATCCTAATACAAGTGGACCTGGTGACAGAAGTCAGCTCTCTACTTGAATGGACTGAAATGGACTGGACTGCATGAAGCTGGATTGCGTTGGAACCCACCATATGGAACCGGATTGGACCAGACAGATTGGGAAGGACTAAAAAGGACCGGAGTGGACTGGATGGAATGTCACAGGTTTGGAGTAGACTGGACTGAACTGGTTTAGTTTGAACTGATTGGATTGAAGCTCTTACATTGGATTGCTGTTGGTTAAATCAGTTAGCTCCACTTGTAGCCGAAGTGAACATCCAATATGATGAATCCGCTTTCAAACGCAGCTGTTCAGAATGAAGCGACCCTTGTCAAGTTAAGAAAGAATTTTAAATTTTAATAAACCAAATTTAACATGTTCCCGTGCAAGAATTCTTTGAATTATCAAACACAATGTAGCAAGTGGATTCAAACTAAAATCAGCGTTGTGGTCGTTACAAGCACCATCATTTACGCAGAAATACTTAGATTGCTTAATTAAACGTTTTGTTTAAGTTACAACAAATTTTATTCCTATCCTCGAAAAACACATAGCGTATTCAACTCCACAAAAACAATTTTACAATGGGCAACTAGAGCGTTGAACGTCGCAATTGTTAAGAGCAACGCGGTATGAAGTTTACAAAGAAGATTAGGGCGCATATTTTCACATATTTACACGTGGTAAAGCTAAACTTAAAACTGCTTGTAAAAGTGACTTCTTACTAACCTTCCGTGTCTGAGTCGTCTCCTTCCATTCACATATAACGCGCTATGCATATCTGTTGAATGATTGTGCATAGAAACTGATAATTTTTCTCTGTCGAAGTTTGCTCTCAACATCTCGAGCTCTTCTTCTAAATCTTGGAATGACTGTTAACACTGTGCTACTCTTCACAAAAGGCCACGAAGACCCACGTGCATGGATCATGTCTGATTGGCCCAATTTTTTTGCAAGGGCTTTCAGCGTCAAAGTGTCATGCATTATTATGCGCACAAGTAAAAAACAATGGACGAATTCGGTCAACGTGTTTACTTCCTTGTTGACTCCAAATTCTTATCATGCTGTGAATCTTTTGGGGAAATTAAATTTCGTTATCTATCACAAGCAGCTGACTGCTTGACTTTTGTAACCACGTCAGCCGTATCTTGCTGTCTTCAACTCCGGAAATTCTTGCATTTTACATGTTTTATTTGTTATTAAATTTTTTTCATTCTTAAACTGCATATTTTTCCGTCCTTGTTTAGGCCTCTCCATAAATGACGTGCGTGATTGCTATTATTTAAATTGGCGTTTCCGACTTCAACTCAAAGAGTAGAAACAAAAGAATTTTTGGCTAAAAAGTGAGGCAAGAAGGTTATTTATACAGATGAAAAAATTACGCGCGTCTGATGGGCTGAAATCGGGTGCATTTTTTCACGAAACACAAAGTTGTAACACGAATGGAAATTACAAATAGCTTACGCAGCCAAAACTTCGTTCGTCTTGAGTTTTTGTGACGTGCAATTTAGATTTCCAAAGTTTCCATCTCAGAGGCTTCGATAATGTAATAATTTTCCAAAACACTGACAGCAGGCAAATTACTCGAAAAAATTTAACAGACACGTAAGTCTGCAGAAACAATACTAATTGGCCCGAAAGGAATACCATCCTAAGCTACACGAATTGTTCGCTCCTATCACGGCAATTCAAACTTGCGCTGGTTTGAGGGTCTTTTTAAATTTTAAATTAAAAATTAAGTTTTTCCAATATATTCCTGTGTCTTTATAGTGAGGAGAAAGATCGTTTTCATTGTCACCTTGCCTTTCATTTACCGCTGCATTTTTTACCTTAAAATCTTCTGATTCATCACGATCCCGTTGCCTTCGCCGTCACCTACTCTGCGTAGCGGTCCTTATTCTGGAAACGTAGACAATTGAGACTCACGCGCTACCAAAAGTCCGAAGACAGATGTTAGACTTAACAAATCTTTAATAAAACGCATTATAAAGACTAATTTCTGCTCACGAAGGAATTATAGAGGCTTTAGTTGTGTGTTTTTTTTATCATTATAATTTTTTGTGGGAAAAAATAGAAGCCAATAGCTTTGACAAATTGACAAAATTTATAATTTATAATAACTGGCTTTGACACGTAAGCACGTTTTCTTCGACTTTCGCGACTCTGACCTCGTGAAAGCATAGTACCAACTGACCGATTTTTTGCATAATCACAATTGACAAGCCCATTTCGTTGTTTTTGGGCTTCATACACGATCATCAGTAACTGTTTTACTTGTTTAACTAATATGAAAATCCTATGAAATTATAGAGTACCTCAAGTCAATGGATTATTCTTTAGAGCTCTTGCGAGATCAGTTCTCTCGCAAAACAAAAATGTAACAACTAAACGACTAAAACAAGCATATTTAAGTCTAATATTTGTATTGTTTTGTTTTATTATATGAAAAAATGTAATTTAACTTAAAGGATATCTTATTAGCTAACTATAATTTGCCCTTTTTCATTTTCTCTCTTCTTTTCTAACATTTGAAAAATGAACATTGAAAAAGTTTGTATAAAAAACAGTACAAAACAAAAACGATAAACTAAGTTCTACAATGTACACCTAGGATCTAATCCTATTCTTGCACGAAGATCATCCAACATATTCTTGTTTTTTCGTCTCTTCTCCCAAGGAATTACAAAAGATTTCGAGTCAAAAACAAAGAATGGTCCATCTTCGTTTGCCATGATCATATAGTTTTTCCTCTCTACCAGCTTAGGACATGCACATCCTGCTCTTTTCTTGAACTCAATGAAGTCTCCTTGTGCGAAGTTTGTTTTAGTTTTCTTGATTACCTGGTCTATCCTCATTTCATACGTGATCCAGGACTGCTTTCTCGTGTCCACCTCATCCAACAGGATCACTTCGCCAATGAAAGCTGTAGAAATAATAATACATTTACAACAACGTAAATTAGTGATGGTTATAGGAATGAGTGGAGTCCACCGATTCGGTCTGTAACCATACAAGTGATAACAACATCGAACGACCGTGCAGCGGGAGTCCGATTTGTTTATCACGAGTATGATTACGGACCGAATTGGACGACACAAAGTCTTTTTACCAATCAATCATAAAAATTACAATTTCCGAGAAACAGGAATAGCCAATTTATGAAAGAAAGGGAAAATTTGCATTAAAAGACTGACAATTGGTTGATTTAAACTGCAACTTTTAATGTGATTGGTTGATTTTAACCCCAACTTTGAATATGATTGGCTTATTGAACTGTCCGACAACAAACTGTCCGATAATAAACTCTGTGATAACAACTTGACAGGTGAGTTAGTGGAAAATAGTTCTTTAAACCAATCACAATCGAGGAAGTTATGATTTTTGTGATGGATTCAGCTAGAATAACTTAGTAAAAGTGTAATGTATAATCGTAATCTCTTATAAAGAAGAAGCGCATTACGACATGTTCAAAAGATTTCTGACTTGGGAACACGGAGTTTACTAATGTATAGGAAACACTGCAAGAAATCCAGGAAACACATACAAATATTTATTTTATATAACTTGTTATTATTTTCTTTTGAAACAGCTGGTTACCCTTTGACTGCTAAGATTGATTAGTAGCTAATTTCTCCTGACAATATCACCCCTGAATCAAACGTTAAAGTCACGAGAGCAACGAAAATGATCAGCAACTAAGGAAGCTCTTAATTGTTACACAAATTCTCCTTGTCAGCACCTTAGGAAATGTATAGAGAACAGTATGGAGAATATGCGTACTGATGTTAGGGTGCTACAGTTGTATTATTGACGTTTTATATTGTGACTTCTGGGCATGCTCACATCATTCTTCAGCCTTTTTTTAAGACAGAAAATTGCATTATCATTACAAGTATCTCACCAAAGTCAAATTCGAGGCACGCTTTTTTCTTTAGCTCCTCAACCTTGAATTCACGCTGGACACAAGACAAGCAGTCATCTGAAGAAGAATAACAGCAAAAAAACGCTCTCAATCTTTTTGTGCTGTTTTAATAAATGCGCAAACGCAAAATATATAATTCCGCAGCCATTTTTTAAGCAAAAGCAAACAAAGAATCCCTAAAGTGACCCTCTCTCAGTACTAATGAAATGGTGACATGGTACAATTGATACGATGCAGCCATAAATCAAAATGCGCTAAGGCGACAGTGGAGGTGACACGAAGTCTTCTCTGGCAAAAAAGAAGCATTATTGAAAAACCAAGCCGCCAAGTTGGTGACATCAGAAAACAAAGACCAGAACACAAGACTAAGTGAGGTTTCGGGTGCAGAATGTCTTTGTCCTGAATCTTATTCGAAATAATCTCCCAAAAACCGACACAATGACCCTTATTCAAGTTTCCAATAAAAGCCAGTGTAATTAGGAACCAAAAGTTACATCTTCTTCTTCAAGTCCTCTATCACGATTCGCAAGAAAACTTTGGCTTTGAGGTAGAAAGGTTGCTTTTGCAGCTTGTGAATTACAGTTCAAAATACATGAGCAAAGAGATAAACCTCCTTTACCAGGGTATCATTAGGGTATACAGCAGAAGGATGTTATAGGCAGTTTAGGTAAGTACTCCGCTTAAAGTTTGATAAATGTAAAAACATGATACATTATGCCGTAGCAATGATTGTGCCGGTTGACGATACCTTGAGAGCATTTACAATAACCATCTTGACAAATGCCTCCCAGCAATGCGCTTCTCGTCGAGGGTGAATATAATTCTGTACATGATTCATCTAGTAAAAGACACAAACCAATGCAATGAAAAATTATAAATGAACTTTACAGACATTTTCTTACTGACCAAATGCAACTTTACCAGCGGTATTTTTCGTGGGTGAGAATAGCTGTTTTAGTATAATTAACTTTGTGATTGTCCAAGCGACGGTATTTTCATTCAATTAATTTTTTTGTTTTTTGAAAGCATCAAAAGTGCGCGAAGGTAACGTTATTGATCATGTTATCAGTAATCAGCATCATAATCGTCTCGCCTCAGTCGACTCTAGCAAGATATAGCGTATTCAGATCGTGCGAATTTCAAAACTCGCTTGAGTTATTGTAGAAAATACTGACTACATCCTTTATCTTTTTATTCACCTGGTTTGTAATAATCATAGACTTTGACAGGAACTGGCTGGACTGTTCCCACATCAAACTCTCTTTTCACAGTAAATGTGGCACAAAATTCGTCGATACTAGAAATCTATGAAAAACGCAAACGAGGATAAACATTCTTTTATATGACTTACTAAAATCAAATACCACAAATTAAAGAGCTTTCCGTCAGTTTATCAACCCATTTCACACTCTCGTTTTCTTTGATTACAATGAACTGAGGGGAAACCAAGGATTTCAAAATAAACAAAACTCGAGTTTAGAGTATGCAGCTAAAATAATTCACGATTTAAGAAAATGTTTTTTCCTAGAAAATACGATTTCCTTCAAAAACTGATAGACGGTTATAAAAATGTACTTTTAAGAACACAGTAAAAAATTATTTAAAAGAAGAGTGATAAGTTTTTGCGATAAAAATCAAGGGTTTGGTGAGAGTCCCTCCCAAGTTATATTAAACGAGCGCTACCTCTATCAAAATATTTCAATAAATGAATTTTGATCTGTTGCACAACTTAGCGACCCATAAACTTTTTTGAAAAACGTCACAGCTAGCAGACTTAAGAGTTGCTTTTCAAGATCTCGCTGACTTACAAAATATTTGGTAACAGTTCAACATAGCAAACGAATGAGTTACTTCAAATACCTCACTGACATATAATATCACAGATCTGTCTGAGAATTCAAAACGTTCCGCGGTTGGCCGGACGTTTTTCATAAGCTGCAAAACACGAGAAATAAGATTTAGGTCTACAGTAAAGGTTAGACTTAGAAGCAATCGGACTAATTCAAATCTTCTGGCGCTTATCTCGATATCTGTAGCTTAAGGCGGCTAAGGGTATAGTTCTACCTGCTGGCTGAGATGCTGATGTATCACCTGTAACGCCACAGCATTTAATATTGGACCTTTTTAATCATAAGTCCAGCGTGGAAGGCATAAGGCTGCTGGTCCTTCCGCAACGTAAACATAAATTGGTAAGTTTGCCGAAGGACTCAGCAATCGAACGTCTGCACTTGTGCAAATCTTGCAATAGCTTGGTGGCGTGTTCTCAGGCAATTAGAACCAAATCGTCTTACAAGGCCAACCACACAAACCACTAAGTCATGTGATAGCTTTTATGATACAGCTCAAAGAGAAAAATGGGTAGGTGAACTTAAAAATATTTGAGTTCGAAGTTCGAAGTTCGAGAATTTTCCTCTTCCCAACTTTTATTTCCTTGACGGAGTTCTGTACAATTTCTTCGCATATTTTGCGTGACAGCAGTTGTTTCTAATACTTTCCTTTAAAATTTTGCACGGGAAATAAGCGCGCGGCCGGCCAAAATTGATCCCCTTGGGCATGCCTGAAATTTGAACGCTGAGCAAGACAAAGGAACTGAAGTTCCGCAAACAAAGAGAAATTTTTTTCGATTTACCTCGACAAGTGAATCTTTATCTGGAGTAAAACCAGAGAAAATACCAATGTCCATTATCGTCATTCCAGATTTACCGGCCTTCAGATATCTATGATGACATCAGTTAATAAATGAATGGAGCACAGCAAAATTCAATTCTGTGGACTACGCACATACATGTTAAATAGGAAAGGGCAAGTGTACAGTAATCTGCGGGATTATCAAATAGGTAGCTCCCGCGCAAAGCGAGAAAGGATGTGTCTAACGGAGATGAACCTCTTGTCAGAGTTTTGATAACGAAGTGTAAATAAAAGCACACAACCTACTTTGCACAGATCCTGAGGTACAATGCATCTGGAGGTTTGGCCTCTGTTTTTGGCTTTTTATGATGTTTTTTATTCTTCTTCCTCTTTTTGCACGCTTTCTTCCTCTTATTTCCTCTACATTTCTTGGCTTTTCTTTCTCTTATATCGTCATCTCTTCTCTGCCTTGAGCGTCCAGCTATTGGCACGCCCTTATCATTGTCCTCTCTAAATTCCTCTCTTACTTCAATCTTTAGAGCAAACGAGCAAGTTTCATTTTTAGGCGACGGAACGTTGTGGCGCACTTCAATCTGCAAGGGAATCGAATTGAACTTTTTTTAAATGGCAAGCTTCTTTGTAGGGCAGATAAACCATGATTTTATAACTTTATGGTATTGCCTTAAGTTTTTATCTCAGTTAAGCGAAGTTTTTAACGTAGCGTCGAGCATAACCTTGGATTGCGTTGGTTTTTCTTTACCTCGCTCAGTGATTGTTCTACTGAAAACTTCCACCCCTTCTCAGCCAATCAATTGGAAAGCTGAAACCAATCACGACTCAATCACCCACCCTTTCTCGCGCCTGAACCGTTTGCTCGTATTTATCATGAATTCAATATTACATTTGCTCCTCATGATCTTCTATTTCGTGATTACCTTGGTTTGATTTTTGACCCTCAGTCGAAATACGCTCTAACAAAATGTTTGATTGGTAGGAGTATGAAAACTATGTCTCATTTCACCTGAAGTTGACCCACTCCAGTTCCTAACGAGTCGATGAACACTTCTCCACCTAGTAAATGAGTGACCTGTTGAAAACAAACTAGATGTCAATCAATTTTACGCGAATGTACATCCAGCCGTGAAAAAGACTTAGCGGCAAAAGCTTTCTCTAAAGTACTAGTTTTAGTTTAGAACTGAACAAAGGGGTAAATTTGTAAAGAAACTGCGGCGCTACGTCGGTGCTGGGTATTCCAAGATAATTTAGCTTTATCAACTGATGTGATGATGTAAATTGCCACCGTAAAGTGTTTCTAAAGCTGACATTTCCAGCGTAAGCCCCTCGAGCTGTCACATGTACCTATCCTCAATGGGTTGCTAACGTTGTTGCGTTCTGCGTTGCACTTATTGAAATCCCAAAGTCGCTTTAGCAGGAGTACAAATTACATACTGAGGAGGTTTTAAAAACTGTTAAATTTTCAAGATCAAACAATCCCGTGAACTTTGAGAAATCGTGACGAAAGACAAAGTACTAAACTGCATTTCAATTCAGTCTGCTTAATAGAGCTCAAACTCACCTCCTCCTGTCTGAGTATCAGGGCGTTGTCTGGATCAATATGATAGCTTCTTTTCCAGCTGGCATCCTTCTCAGAGGATATAGACACTCGCAAATCAAGGCTTGCCCCTGCAGTTTTCTCGCTGTACTGTGATAACGCTTGCAGAGCAACACAAGTGTCCTTAAAAATGGCACCAGGATATATGATCAATAATTATTAAGTATTAAAGGAGTGATGTGCATTTCCTTTCTACACTCATCGAGTGTGGTAATTCATTAATATAAAAATTCACACGAGAAAGAAGAGTGCTTAAAAAGAAATTATTTCAAAAGGAAAGACTCCGTTTAACTCAGGTGTCTTCGCAATTTTTGTCTTCTTTCGCATATACCACATGAGTGAAAAGTGCTCTTAGCGCGCTGATTGGCTAGTTCATTAGTGAATATCAAATATTATAAGCGATGAGACAAAATCGCGCGTCAAGAATTTAATTTTCGACCATTATGAGTATATGGAAAGAAATAAACTTTTTTAGGTAACTGTGTAGTATATACGAAAACAATTATTAACCTTAATGTCGGTGGAAGTGGTGGATAATTAACGAGCCACCTCCACTTCGGTGAATAATTGTTAAATATTGTACCATATCGTTCCATTAAGATCGTAACCTACAGTTATAAATCTTTATAGGCATGATCTCAGGATCAATCCTTTTAGTCAAAAACTTCAAGAATACTGTCCGCGAAACGATGGAAAAGTCTTTGAAGCATTAATAAACTAAAACTCGTGAATCCGGTTGTGAATAAAAAAATTCATTAACACTCGATGACAAAAATAACGAATAAGTGGCAAGGGTTTCTAAAACAAACCTGTGTTGATGCAAAGCCTCCCTGAGGATCTCTTTGACTGGTAAGCCACGTGACAATGGGTCCCGCCAACTTCAGTCTTCCAACGGCCATCTGAGCCAGCAGTGCATAAGCGGTTGTTTCCACGTTTAAAGCTTGGTTTCCTGCGTCCCAATAACGAGTTGATTCGTCTGAAATTGAACAATTCCAGTCAGTAAAAACGATTTTGGAACCCGACGGTTGCTGATCAGTAGGCACAAATTATCGTAATTCGCCGCTGGCCTCAGCATTTTTTATCCGTGTTGTTAGATGAAAGCCACGACACGCAAAGCCATGCAAACTTGAAGAAAAAATAATGGTGGGAAACATCTAGCAACGTATAGGTATGTCTACTCTTTCCTGTTAATAAAAACGTGGTAATATAGTCCTTAATTAAAGCCCATTTCGACCAAAGTTCTAAAAGCAAAACTAAAGTGATTTTAACGAGCAATCAGAACAGACGCAATTGTTACAAGCAAACTTCCCGAAGAGCCGTAAAACGCAAGCAATGAAATCGTGCTTAGCTTTGGTATTGTAACTGATAGGTTAGGAATTGGAAAATGGTGTGAGTTTTCTGAACCAATCAAAAAGCTTGGTGATGCGCAGCCAATGCAATTCTGATTAACTATCTATCCTCAATCATAATTTGCTCCATAAAGCTAAAGTTATTTGTACCTTTGTCGTAGGTCTGCATCCGCAGTAATTTTGCGTTTGCTTTGGAGCTCTTCCTGCTGCCAGCTAAAGCTAAGGCGTATGTGGTAAGCGCCAAAGTGTTAACTTTACTTATGCTATCCAACTCTGATTCCATGAAAGCCACAGCATTCTGAATCCTGTGACTCTTATTCTAGGAAGAAGAAATAATTTAAATAAATAATAATCACGGAAATGTAATCAGGAAACGAAATTTTTTTTTTACCTTCCCATGACATGAACACTCGAGGAGGGACACTGAAACAAAAGCAGTCATTGCCACATCGCCATGAGTACCACCCTAAACAATGAGAATTGAATTATGATGATGAGAAAATAACTTACAAAAATGAATTTAAAATTAAATTTGGCAGTTACTTACCGACCTTAATTTTAAACAAATGCTTACACCCGAAAAAGGAGACTATTTTAGTCGCTACACATAACGCGTCCAAAGCCATCGTATGAAACATAAAAAGCACGCCGTTTCATTATATCATGTTTAAACAGTTTGGAACCAATACAGCTGCTCTTGAGTGCAAAAGAATCAGTAAAATATGTGGCATATCCGAGCAAAAAGAACCATATAGTCTTAGATATTTAGGACAAAGGCTATCATAAAAGTTTACGGAAAACCCACCATCATGGATTTGTGAATGATATCCTTAACCTCAGGAAAAGCTCCATCTTGCCGCTGGTTTTCCAGAAGCCAACTAACTGAATCACAGATAAGAGCTTGGTCGATTTCGACACCATCGAACTTTTGTGCCGCACAGAGAACCCTCGCCACAAAAGCGGTCAACCTGTTAAGCGAAGGCTTAAGATTATTGGCTTGTCTTATTCACTCGTATATTTTCTGTTTCTTTTCTATCAGTACGTTGGTCTGTCTGTTTGCCAATCTACTCGGTTGGCCTGTTTGTCTGCCTCAGTGTCTGTCCGTCTATCTATCTAACGGAACGTTTGCCTACCTGCCTGTTTGTCTATCTGTTTGTCCGTTCATCTATCTGCCGGAACGTTTGCCTGCCTGCCTGTTTATCTATCTGTCTGCCCAAACGTTTGCCTACATGCCTGTTTGTCTGTCTACATGCCTGTTTGTCTGTCTACCTGCCTGTCTGTCTGTCTTTCCTCCTTGTCTGGTTGTCTTTCTTTCCATCCTTCTACCTGTTTGCCTACCTACCCGTCCGTCTGCCTTTCTGTCGGCCCTGTCTGTTCATTTAAGTGCTTTCCTATAGACGGGTTTTGCTCTCCTGAGTATTTCACAACTGACTTACCAAGTGCTACCAGGACGATGCTCTCCAAATGCACTGAAAGACCTGTCCTTCCTTCGGTAATTAAGAGCCCTTTGATATCCTGGAAATTATTATTTTCGAAGAAAAAATTATATCATGCAGTTTATTTTTGAGTTAAGTCTTTCACTAATTATATTGGAAAATGCGTCGACTCTGTCCACCTCAGTTACTCACCTGATTGTATCATCCTGTAAGCCTTCGATTCTATGTCAGCAGTAACCTGTCTAGTTTCTAATAGATACTGCATTACATAAACATTGGGCGCCAGGAATATCATAGTCTGTTCTCCGCAACCCATGGGCATGTGAAGAAGGCTTTCCAAGCCACCGGTTATTAAAGTTGTCACCACCGGACCAATGAGGTTTCCTTGAAAAGAAGACAAAGGATTTTTGTTAGTGCGGTGTAAAGCCAATGTCTAATTGGAAACGTCTGCATGCGGACTCTGTAAGGTACGACGCCCAGATGCAACCAAACATAGCTTTAAAAATTGAGAATGTAGAGCACCATGTCAGGCATTTCCAAATAACAAAACCGATAATTAATAGAGTCTGCTCTACTTTCTAACCTTTGCTACACTAATGGAATGGTACCTGACTGTAAATCTAAAGTTACAGCCACAAAAAATTCTTCCTTTGGATACTGTCTAGGAACAGCACAATCAACAAGTTTCTTTTTCTAAATGCCATTACAGGTTGGAATGACATAGACTTCAGATTAACAATATAGCCTCTGCCAACTGTTATCATGCCTATTGATATCACTGATACTAGAATACTAATTAAATGAGCTGGAATTAGGAGTAGAAATGATGCGCGAGGCCTACATGACGCTAAAATACAGTAACTTGTTGAACCATCGTCGTGCATCTTAGCACCTGTGAGTGACAAAACAGCTTTTAGTGATCCTGGAATTGCCCGGGAAGGAACTTTGAGAAACACACTGTCTACCTGCATACCGTTGTTGACAACTCCTGGAAAATTTGAAAAAAAAATAGTTGATGTAACTGTTGTAAACAATATTTCAGGCTAAATATGATCAGCTTTGATACGGTTAAGTCAACTTGAGTGTAAGAGCACAAAGAAATCCACAAACAGTTAAAGCAGCACTGAGTATAGATTGAGGATACATCAAGGACACTTACATTTGCTGCTCAAGACATTTAAAATAAGGAATGTTCCCTTGTGATATAAAGCTTAAATAGTCCATTACATATAAATGAAAGGTTAGTGTAAATAGAATGAAACATTGGTACCTCATCAGAGTTCTATAACTTTACTTACGATCATGTTTTATCCCTGTTGAAGGAGCAGAAGTATTGACTTTGCCTGGTGCTTCGTCGCGCAACACTCCTGTAAAAAACGCATAGGTAGTCAGGTAAACTTGTCGCCTTAAATAAAGGTACATTGAATTAACGGAATCGGGACAAACCATCTGATTTGTACCCATTCTGACCCTTTCATGTTTCATCAACCGTTTCAACTACCTCTCTAAACTAGTTTAACGATGCGTATTTCCAGTTATCAGGCCTTAACAGGTTTGCTAGAAGATAAGACGATTCTGTATGGAGCACTTGTTATTATCACTCGCTATTGTTCTCTCGTTACCGATACACTCACATCGCGCATGGAACAATTAATGCCGATATTTTTTCACCCTGTCAATCCGTTTGTCCGTTTTTGTGTTATTATTTCGTATATCATATAGTAAGTATACCGTCATCAGGTCAGCATAATAACTGCATGCACTTTCTTAGTTGAATTTCATAAATCCTCACAATGAATACCTTGCGGATCAAGAAGAAATGAGTGAGTTATATGTCGTTCAACTCCTTCTGGCTGCGAAGAAATAAGTAAAAAGAATAACTTGGCAACATGTCTCCAACATCCTGCACAAGCCTGTCATCCATAGGCAATCATCAAACGTACAATAGACCTCTAATGGCCTTACCACTACAAGAATGCTGCGAACCACCGTGTCAAAGGCTGTCGGGCCGATTATTTCACCCAAAAATAGTCCATCATCAAGAATTTCTGCTGTGGCGATCACTTTAATGGACACTTTTCCAAGTTTGATGGGTATTATTGGAAATGTAACAGATCCTGCATCGTTTTCCTTTACATTCAGGTTTAGTACCGCTGACTTTTGGCCTGTGGGAGCATTGGTACAGAACTCCTTGCTTTCTTCTAGCTTTACTTTAACCTATAAGATAATAAGGTCGACACATGGAATAAACTCGCCATCTCACCTTAAAAAGTTCTCTATTCATTCTTTCTTTCGCTTTAAAAGAAGTCTTTTTCCTCTAATGTTCAATTCGCATGAGTAATGAAAGATTACCGCTTCTGTTTTGAATTTTCTTTGATTTTTTTATTTGATTTTCTCCAATTTCGTATACCTTAACCATCCTTAACTTATTTATCCATCCATACTTCCGTTCGTCCCTATGTCTAAATCTCTGTCTAAGCCCTCGTATCAGCGCCCTCCTCGAGTCGCGAGGCGCGCTTTTCATAGTGTAAGCGTATAATTCCCTTACAGGCTGTTTCAGCTTAAAAATAACATTTCCTCTATTGCTAGCTCCTATTATTCGTAAAACCGTAAAAGTAAATTAAAACTGAAACGCAGCACAAGTCCAGGTGTTTTGTTCATAATTACAATTTCCTTTCATAAATTTTGGTCCCAAGCTCAAGAAGAACTTTCTAACGACAAGGAACTAAAAAATCACATGAATATTTGACAAGAGGATTTGAAAAGAGAATCTTCACGAAGTCGAACAGTTATCGAACCCAGAGGCATTATGCTATCATCAGAAAAAGGGAACTTACCTCCTGATTCAACAATTATGTAAAATGTTAATTTTTTAGGAAGGAGGCACTTTAGTTTTCTTAATTTAGTTGAGAGGTCATTGGCAAGCTAACACATTCTCACCCTAAATTCTATGTCCCCGTAGTTAAAGACTGTAGCAATCACAGAGATCTGCTCTCCTCGCTGAACAGAATATGGAAGACGAAGGGAAACGAAGAAATTCTTAAAAGCTTGGATGTTCAATGGACGAGCAACTCCTAACCCTGTCTGGTTTGAAATTCCAACAGCTTGAACAACCCAGGTGGTGATGGTATCTGGTAGGTTTGTATCTAGATGAAATTTCCCGTTAGGGCTATGAGAAAAGAGAATGGTTATTCTGGCAAGTTCAACGAGGAAGAAGCAAGGAAAACACTTTAAAAAAAAGAAAAATTAACGTTATGTTTCCCTGAGGAACGCAGGGTGCTATTACATATTTATCTGATCATGGAAACTGATCACCCGGGTAAAGGTTGTCCTGGATAAGAGAGTTGTCGGTAGCAGAGACTGATAAATCAATAATAAATCACTAACCCCACCAGAAGTCATGCTCAAGGTAAAATGACTCAGAGAATGAATTAACCCATCTTCACTTCAATTCTGACATTCGCTTTGTTCACTTTCACTGCGCGTTAATCCCAGGAAATATAGTCACTATATTTTTCTCATAAGTTCTACTAAGCAAACGTATGTCTTTGATTCCAGCTTAAATTGAAATAGAAACAAACCTTGCATCATTTTTACCATGGAATATTTATACCATATTTCCTCGAATAAGCTCCCCCCCCCAATAAGCGCCCACCCCCAAGCCATGATGTAAAACAAGCGCTCCCTCTCCTAGAAAAAGTGCCCCCTCCTCCCTCACTATCTTTAATAGTGGGGATACAAGGAAAACCTTTTAATTTTAATTTCCACTTTATTTACAAATTTTTAAACCTCAACGACAGTGGAATCAGTGCATCAGCACTAGTGAATGATAAAGCCCCCCCTCCCCCTTAATCAAGCACCCTCCCTCCATAAGCGCCCCACCTTTCAGTGCGCGGGTGCTTATTCAATCTACGTTATACATTAGCATTATAGGTCAAGATATATTATCAAGAAATGAATTCACGTACCCAACAACATCGTCCATGAATATCCAAGTTTCAGGAAAATATTGTCTTATTTGCCCCTGACTGATTTCTTCATCTTCAAATTCATCGTCTGACTGTCTAAATGATCTTGCACGAACTTTTACTTCAGTCTTCCTAGGGTCTGGTAAAAAAATCGGCAAAAGTAAAGAATTGAATGTGAACGCGACCTTCGTATTGAAGAACAATACTGAAGCAGTAGTAAAAATAAGGCTCGAAAAAAATTCAGGCCTGTACGGGATTTGAACTCATGACCTTTGCAGTGCTCTACCAAATGATCTGACATGCCAACTAGGAGCTGGTCATTATGTTGATTCGTAATAGACCCGTGAAGTGAATCAATGACTATAAATATATGAAAATCATGTATGTGAAATGCGGATGAAGAAATGAATACACGTGCAATCTTCACAGCAATGAACACTGCTTAAGAATAACGAAGCTTGTGGTTATTCATTGTCGTTAATACACTAAGAAGTTTCATTGTATGTGTTATGATGTTATCACTTCAAATGTGATCGAGACGTTATGGCTTTATACTGCTAATATCTTTCTAGGCAATTACATCGTTTGACTGTGGGCCGCCTCTAAAAGCATAATGCACCAGTGTGATTGGCTAGTATTCAACAGCTGTGGTAAAGTTCATTGATCGTGTTCCTCTTTTCAACGCATGCCGGGAAAAAGAGGCGTTTGAAAAGAGATCTCAGCAACTTGAACAAGGATAATGGAGCAGATATCCGATAAGCAAGGACGATATCCACGATCAAGAAAAAAAAGAACAAGAGAACTGTAAGACAGCGCACTGCTGAGGGAAAATATCTTCCAAATGCGTCAATTACAGCTGATAAATACTGGCCAATCATAGTAGGGCATCATGCTTTGTGGGATGACGCGTACTCAGTTGACCCAGTATGCAATCGAAACCTTGTGGTCCACACCAGAAGTGTTCAGTCGTTAGACGAGAATGAATACTTCAATACTAATTATTAACTAACAGTGGTAGAAGTTCAAATAATCTGGGTTCTTTACTCAACTTTGCTGCGTTTGGAGATTGCATCGGATACGTCTGAACACAGCGTGAGACTAGGACTAAAGTTGTTTATCGTAAGTGAGAACTGTCCGGGTATACACGACAATAAAAAAGTATGGAAGAATGTTGGTACTTCTTTAGCCAAACCACTTCGATTAGCGTGTGCAATGAAGCACATGACCGAAAAACTGGGCATTTCTGATCAATGGCGGTATTTATTCTGTTGAGGATTAAAAAGCGTCCTTACTGAACGAATGCTTATGCAAACAATTTTACCTTTTTCCCCAGTAAAATTAAAGCAGCACTGGAGAAATTCTTCTCTGCAATCTTTGCTGGCACTAGCAAAAAAATACTTGGCTCGTAGCATACAGGTCGCTCTTGTGGGTATCTGACCTCTTTTACAACACTGAGTCAGATCTAAAGAAGAAAAGATATTGCGACATTGACAGTTTCGTGCGCTATCACTCACATCCCAACCTTAACATTATCACCCTTTCTTCAAGCTCTTCTAGGGCGTAATGACGTCAATAGCCCTAAAACCTAGCAAGTCTTTTCATATGTCTGTCATTCGCAGTTTTTAAACCGCAAAAAACCTGTTAGAAACAAGTTATTCAAGTGTAGCAATAAATATTCCTGGGGTGCATAAATGTCTGTCTTTCAAGAACAGTCAGGAAAAAAAAGAAGAAAGGCGGGTCTCCGATCTGTGATACTTATGTCTACCAAGGTATTTACGAAGCTCGTTAAGCGCGTTTCAATTGATTGTCGTTATAAGGAAAAACCGAAGAGATCATACAGGCTAAGAAGAATATTAAACTTCTTTAAAACTTCTTTACCTGTGGTTGACCGCCTTTCCCGTTTGCTTTTTGGTTGAGGACAGGAAAATTCTAAAAAGGAAATGAAAACGAACTATGATTAGTATCATTATTATTACCTTTATATCTCTATCACCATCCTAATTATGATTATTATTTCAATTAACATTGTCGTCAATGAGTTAAAGGGATTTCTCCCTTTTCTCTTAGACAAGGGGAAATGACTTGTGAACTGATATGGAATAGAAGTTGAGAAGATGTGCAAAGGTGCAAGCGTACATTTAATATATCAAAGAATTTCAGTCTTTATTGCTTCTAATGCATAATTAAAAGCGGTTCTTTATGGTTGAATGCATATCATCCAGTTATTTTGGGAAATTAAAAGGTCACGTATTACATGTCTACATACGGAAAGGTTCTTGGCATACCAGAACGTCCTCTGCTTGCAATGTTTGTGTTTGTGATTACAACAGTTCCACTTTTCTGTAATTAAAGATTTTTTGAGCCATTAAAATATTAGAATGCATTGAACAACGTACATAATCCTTTATGGTGAGATTGTGTTCACCAATGGAATTTTTTTGCAACCTCCAAAGTGCTTAACATTCTACGAGATCCAAGTTATATAAATGTCGTCTTTGCGTTCGAGGCAAAGTGGTTTTGAGAGAAATTACTTTGTCTTGATAATTTGTTACCAGGTTTTACTAAAGCAGTTGCAAAAATCTTTAATCGGAGTCATTCACGGAAGAGAAAATTCAATGGGTCCCCTTTCTGCTCTACGGGGGCTTTTCAGTAATAATGTGTACAACGCAAAGAGTCCAGGCGCAATCGCCAAAGCAGTCAATGGTTTGCACCTGCTCTCAAAAGAGGGTTTCAGTGGGGTGATGGCTTTTACAGCTAACGTTTAAAATTTTGGCTATTTTATGGCTAACGGTTGATATCTTTCCATTGTTGTCACCAAAATTTTTTTAACGGTTAACTTTTTTTTAACAACTATCTGTTAGAATTTGTCAAGTTTAACGCCTGACAGCTAAATTTTTTGGCCGTATTACGGCTAGCGGCTAACCCCGTTGTGAATCTCCTCAAAGTGTTCAACAAATATTTAATTATGAAATCCTGCGTAAGAGAAATGTTCAAAATTATTCATAAATTGTTCTACTTACATAGAATACATCCTGGCTATCGCTACCAGATCCTACGCCACATCCCAGGTCGAGGGACTCCATGGTATTTAACACCTAAAAGTGCATGAAACGTGGAGAGTTTGCAGGCATCTCAACCATAAAAAACTTGCTCTTCCTACTCCACTCCAAGCCCTCTCTAAGACAGAGTCATAAAATATATAATAAAGCTCTTAAGCTTTACGGCCCGCTCCCGAACATCACCTGGGCATACATGTTCGGTTTTATTTCACTTAGACGAAAATTTTTCTGCTCCAACATCACCCATTCTAAGCCTCCACAGCAAAATAGCTTACAAAACTGCATGAGCGTAGAACAACAAACAATGAACTAACGTATTTCAGTTCGTTATTTGTTTGTTTGCGTTTATTTTTGCTGCAGTTATTCTGGTAACAACTTTTGATCATTCACCATATATTAGTCTCTTGCAACCGTTTATGATCGTGGACCCATTACAAACAACAAAATTGTTTTACTGCTTCTTCCCTACCCTTTTCTTGTTGAGCTTTTCTCGGTTTCTCAGGATGTAGACACTTTTGTCGACAGCTAAAAGTGCGACTCTCGTCCCAGGAGTCGCCGATAACTGGATCTTGTAAGGAACACCTGGATCAATTTGTTTACCCGGTGATTCATCGTGGAACTCAACCTGCGGAAAGAGGCTCACAATATCAGTGGCCAAATACAAGAGCAAGTAAACGCAATATCATAAATTAATTCTGAGAACAATATTTTTTCGAAGTATAAAGGGCGCAGCTCAAGGGGGTAATTACATGTGATAAACTGATGAATTATTGTTCAAGAGAGAATAAATTGAACTCATTTTATTCTCTCTTTCAATGCTTAAACTAGTATTACCCTGAAAGCTACTTTGCCCCCCTCCCCTCTCCAGCCTACACTCCTGGTGTGGTTTACATAAACGGGTTTTCTGATCTGAAGTGACAGCGTTATTCGATTGCTAAATATAGGCTGTCATTGAATAAAAGGGGTAAGTTTCTAAAGAAACTATGGTGTTGCATCGGTGGGGGAGTATAACAGGGTAATTTGGTATTATCAAATGAGTTGATAACATAAATTGGCCACCGCAAAGAGTTTCAAAGCTGACGTTTCGAGCGCTAGCTCTTCGTCTTCGCTCTGACGAAGGGCTAACGCTCAAAACGTCAGCTTTTGAACTCTTTACGGTGGCCAATTTATGTTATCAACTCGGCTGTCATGAAATGTTTGTATCGCTAGACGCACCAAATCTATGTCAGTGATGAAACTTGCATGATTTCTAGTGTACTCAGAGGTCTCGCCTGATTAGAAGAGTAAACAACGCGTTCATGTAGCAAAGTCCAGTATCATAAAACATCTTGGCTATAAAGACTTGGCACTTCTTATCTCTATGCTATTGGAGGTGTAAAGCATCCTAAATCATAAAGTTCATGTAAAATATGTCCCATGCACGCTTGTCCCCTTATTTTGTCACAAAGGTATCTTTGATATGGTTTTTGACCCCTCTCATAAAAATATGATCTACCTTATTTGGTAGTCCATCGTCAATTTCAAGCAATACGCTGTCTGTAACAACTTCACCGTTCTCTCCGATGAAGAAGACCACTAGACGTGATGATGGAGACATTTCTGGAAGAATCTTAAACCGGAAGCTGGATATCACCCCTACCCTTTGGACTTTGACCCACTGGCGAAGTATCCTACCGCGCGTAATTACCTGATGAAAAAAACAATCGTTTGAACTGAGATATGGGTGGGAGAGTTACATGAAAATCAAACTGCAACACATTAAGTTGACGTGAAACAGGTGCAATGTTAGCATACTGCGATGCCTCTTTGTACAACTTATCAACGAAAATATTTATGTCCTCGTTATAGAATTATTTCCAAATGTAATTGAGAGTGTATAAGGAAGAATGATCCTTTCTTTCAACTTACTTACTTTATCTATCTTTCTTTCTTCTCACCCCTTGAGGACGTTTTTCGCGTTTGGCGCTGATATCAGTTTGAGGTAAAATGCATTAACCAATAATATGGGCCTATTGCCACAATTATTCTGTTGCTCACTTGTAGAGTTCTCCACTTCTAGTGTTATAAGTTCAAATCATCTTTAAGGGCTCAGATCTTTGTTGATTGCATGCTTATGATGAACTGACTATTGATATCTGATCCATCTAGCCTATGAAGAAGAATTCCATAAAGCAACCATGCGCTTACCATGAAAGTAATCTTGGAGGCGTTCTTGTTAACAAACACGTCACAATTAAAATACTGCTTTTCCTAGGGTGGAAAAATGATATATTGAAATCAAATTGTAAGTACAATCTTGGAATACGTGAGAGTGCTCCAGCAAATTACAAAAAAGGTTCCTTATTCGTTACGATTCAAAGATAAAGAAACTAGATAAACATACAAAAAGCAATTTAACTCCCATATTTAAAAGAAACTCTGTCTTCAACCCAACAGTTGTTAAAGAACTTTCATGGTTTTTGTAATAGCGATAGAGAGCCGGGATCATGAGACAGATGGGCGAGCATCAAAATGCTCATTGAATGAACAAGATCGGACAACTATTAGGGTCCAGGAAAGACATAAAACGCAAATACAAAGGAAAACTTACCCTGATTGCTCTGACATACAAAAATGTTCTTGAAGGGGACTTGTAGGCATGAACATCAAACTCAACAAAAGTATTATGATCCAAATCGTCTTTCTCTGTCCCCACCTGTATTAAAAGATACCAAGTGATGCGATTACGTTTACAACTGTAACAAACTCAGTGTGCATAATAGTTGATATCTCTTCCAATACCGGATTATTACATTCGTTTGCTAAGTAGTCAAGCCAAAATAAAATTGAAGTATAAAACCTTGCATGCTTTTATTAAATACTCACCCGAATGTTCATTTTTCTGACATTTCCTGGTACGTCGATGACGAAATTAGCTCTTCCCTGATTGTCAGATGTGTCTTCAAAATTCACGTTATCTTTCTTACTCGCCGTCTTCCCTATGTTGATTTTGCTCCCAGAATGTGTAGTTCCGGTTACCGAAATGGACATTGGAATTCCACGGGCCGGCGTTTTATCCGGGTATTTCAGATCGACCTGTCAATGTCGACAGGAAATCGAGGTTATATTTTTAAAATGAAACAAATTTTTTTGTGCTCGTTTAGATTTAGCTTATTTAGTGCCTTGGATGTATAGCAGATATCACCCAAGCTTATTCTTAAATATCAACAAAGCAAAGAACCGTAAGAGATGTTCAACGCGATATTCTATCAGGTATTACAATATTACATGGTATGATGAAAACTGAAGTTTTATTTGTTTAGACTACGGTTGCTCTGCTTTGGCGTGTTCCTTTAGTAAGCCGGACAAAAAGTGAAAACTATAGTTTCATGTTTAAAATAATCTTTGAAACATAATTTGTTGGCTCAAAGAACATGTGCTTTAGTCCATGACGTAGTGACAGCACTGAGACTTATCAAGTTCAAGGTTTGGTACATCATAAAATCCAATTTTTGTAATATTTTAAAGAATTGTAAGAGCTTTTCCCTACCTTGACTAGGAAAGGAAGCGCAGGTTTGAAGAACTCAGTGGTCGCTTTGTGATCAATCCTGAAGGGAGACTTGACGAAATAAATTCCATTGTCTATCGCACTTTCTTTCTTTCCAGAAGTTTTCTCGATGACCTCGGCCTCGATCTGGAGTCGCCGACCATCCGGGAACCACGGAAGACCAGGAGTGATCTTAATGTCGTCAGTAGTGACAATGAAGTCAGCTTTACCATCCTGTAACTGTGAATAATTTTTTGTCATCTGAGTAATTTTGGTTGAGATTTCTGGTGTGGCTTTGGATAATTTTTCTGGTTAGTGAACACGGTCTGTAACACTTAGGATTTCCATGGATTTCCATGGTCGACTGAAAAGCTTAGACTAAGATAAGAAACTGAACCCCCCCGCCCATTTTCCTTTTTCCCAAGGAAGTATATTTTAGGATATGTTTGGTTAATTTGATTAGTGGGATAATGAGAAAAGTTTATTCATAAGCTGAGGTTGTGGAAGCGTTTTTTTTATCCTTCAAACCTTAACATTAGTAGTCATGTTCTTCAGACTTTTCTCTTTTTATTTCCTGTGGTACTGACAAAAAGAATTTGTTTTACAATCAGCTTCTAAAATTGACGGTCATTTCCTCTATTCTCGTGACGTTTATACTTGAATCAAGGGTGATACTAAGTAGGGAAAAATTAGAGGTCAGTAATTCGAAGGGGTAAAAGGGTTAAGTCCTATTCAATCAGAATGGTACTGAGCCTTCTTGAAAGAAATGGGTACATTAACACATACATGTATAAATTAAAGCATAAACACATAAATAGGATAATAGATAGATGAGTAGATATATAAATATAGAGAAAAACTAATAAAAATTAATAAACAACTGTCGAGATTATAAATAAATGTCAAAGTTATTTTATGTAGCTGCGACGTTCCACTCCAGTTACCTGATCTGGTATTTCCTTCACCAAAACGTCTTTAAAACGTCCCCCTACCATGGAAAACTTGACGAGTACTCTTCCATCAACTGGCTTTCCGTATGTGTATCTGAAAAACACAAGAATATGTGTTAAAATACCTTGCACCACACAAAAGTGAAAGTAAGGGTAATTTTGGCAAAAGGAAGCTGAGGCAGTATTCCTGACACAATAGAACACGATGGGATTTTTTTTAGGAAGGTTATCTGGAAAAGATAGGGCTTTTTATTCAATCAAAGTTCCTACTACTTCCCAACTTACTGCAAAGATAATGCAATGAAGCGAGCGACAAGTCAGTCGAAAAGTGCTATCCTTACCTTCTGGCTGATTAAGTAGAAATCTCGGGGAATCCTTAACGTCCCCTGCACGCTTTTTAACTCAGCTTGAGTCACCGTGATATTTTAACCTTTGGCAGTCAAATAGTTGTTTCTGATCCTTCGGTAAAGTTCAGTATTTGCAGATTTACTTATATAATAGCACAGCACTTATGTTTCTCTTGCTACTCTCCGATACTATCTATTATTAGGATTAAACCTGAGTGCAGAGACTTCAAACAAAGAGAAAAAAATTGAATAACATACTTGGCTCTGATGGAAACGCCAACGACTTTCACATTAGGAAGTACATATTTTGGTCCTGATATCTCGACAGAGAACTTTGGGAGAACTAAATTGAAACAAGACGAAAGTACTCATAAGATTACTTCACAGGATGTCAGATTTCTTGTATTTTTGGGGTGTCCTATATAGCTGTGCAATACAGTTCGAAGTAATGGGATAAAAAGTTCTCTCACGTGTTCATAATATTTTTTGCACCATGCAGCTTTTTGCATTGCCCAAAAAGTGTTTCTCGGTACCTGAGTGTCGCTAAAAAAGCATTGCAAGTGAAAGAGGTTTTTTCTGTGACACCCAGCTGGTGAACGAGAAGTGCAACAGAACGATTTTAAATTGACTGTCATAAGTCATCGATATTGCTTTGGTTTTGATTTTCTTCGCTACGTAATTAGTCCAGAAAACTCGCGCCATTTTCACAACCAATCAGATAAAAAAAACTTGAACAAATCATGCGTTCTTGGCTCTTGAGTATTGGCTCTTTGTATTGCTTGCCTCTCATCTGATTGGTCCTTGTGATAACTTTGGTTTTGGCTCTAAGACATTCGATCGAAATACACTCTAAACGACTGGGAATTATTAGATTTCCTCCCATCTGTAAGTTCTCACTTACCGTATTCTTTTACTTCAAACTTTACTGAGGCATTTTGAGTGTTCTGTGAAACAAAATTGCTTATATCAGCACCATAGAGAACAAGCATCAACCTTCATACTTTTAAGGGAAACAGACAAAAAAAAAATTAACAATAAACTTTTAGTTGCATTCACCTCATGTCCATGAAGTGCTAATACAGTCCACTGACCAGTTAACGCAAACTCACTAAGACCAAAAATCTTGATGATAAAACCTGAAAGAGAAAAACCTTAGAGATAAAACATGACGAAACAAAGTCAACATGTTTAATTACTTCCATGTTTCTGCTTCTGAAAGCTTTCCTTTATTTTCTTAAGAGACAGTTTTTTGATAAGAAAATTAAACTAAAACTGATACAGCTTCTTCGTTTTTGAGCATATGCGGTCCAAAGATACCATGAATTTTCCAAAGACTTCCTACCAGTTTCTGTACTCAGATCCTTCCATCGTTGAACCACAACACCTTGAGGGTTCTAAAATGGAAATGGATTCTTTACATGAGTGATTTTTACGCATTCTTCAAATAACGACGATGTAAGTAAAACAAAATGACTCATCACTACCTCAACTCATCACTGACGACTGGTTATGAAGATAGGTAAACCTTTGGCAATAAATATATGAAAATCATATATGAGAACTGCGGATTAAGAAATAAATATGAAAGCAAGCTTCGCAGTAATTCTTAATCCAGTCAGTTCACAGGTATGATTTTCATCGATTCATCACTTCAAGACTGAATTTATTACGAGCCTATATAATGACCAGCTCCTGGTTGGCTCGTTAGCTCAGATGGCAGAGTACTGCACCAGTATCGCAAAGGTCATGAGTTAAATTCCCGTACGGGCCTGAATTTTTTCGACATTGTTTTCATTACTGCTTAAATATTGCTTTACAACTTTGGGACTGTTTTCTCTTTTCATAATTGAGGCGGGCGAAATCAGTTGATCGGTTCCTTTAAATTTTTAACTGCTGTATGTCTTTAAATACTCTCATTTGTCTTACCTTAACAATAACTGTCACCTACAGAGGACGATAAAAAGAAAGAAAGTGAATGACATGTTCAAAACTCAGTGGTTTGTACAAACAGAAGTCTGTGATCGATGTATTTTATTATATGAAGTGACTTTCCGATCATCTTCATCCAAGTGAATAAATTAAACTACTCACCTTTTTCTCCTTTTTGGGTTTAAGATCGAATCCTAGGCATATGATCCGTATTTTAACTGAAAAAATAAACAATCCTTTAGTTAGAGTCATAACTTTCCAAGAGACTCTTCCATATTTCAGGCGTTTGAAACTCTGGAACTTCCTTACCCGGCATTCAATCAGTCCAGCATACTGAAATGTTGCATGGCTTGGATACATACGCCGAACTTTTCATGAGCTGTTAAGACTTTTTTAATTCTTTCTCCCTAAATCGAAATTGGAATTGGGTTCACCCCTTGCACGTGGAAAACAATACCTAGAAAGGCGTAATCAAGAAAGGGAGGGAGGGCATGGGAGTTTGTGGCACCTCTAGTTCCGAAACTAGCAATTTATAAAAAGAAAACATTCTGATATCTGACGAGTTCTTAAATCCCAAGAAGACTTTTGTTCGGAACTCCCTTGGCGGAAAATCTTGCGCACACATAACGGAATGAAAGAAATTGAGACAAATAGATGCATCTTCCAGAGGCCTTATAGGGACTAGGGCCTAACTTTAAATGCAGTTCCGGGAGATTCATAGCTGTTTAGTACTTCAGGCTAAATATACGATAGGAAAATTCACCCATTTGGCAACTGGGCGAATGAAAAAATGATATCAGTCTCACCTTTAGCATACTCCAAACTGCTACTTTGTTGTGGAGTGTAAATTGGCTTGTCGGTCTGTATAAGAACAATGCCATCTAGAAAACTAACGAGCACCTTTGCTTCCTTGTTCGTGGTTACGTCGCTATCGTTAGATTTTGCAACAAGGGAGACATAACGATGAGTGGCTAAATCTTTGTCATCAGTAACATCCACTGGAAAATCTTTTGGATCCAACTGGGTGAAATGAATATTAAACCAAAAGTGAGAGAAAAGTTATTGCAACTCGAACGTTCTTGCTTCCGAGCAAATAAGAAAGACAACTAAATGATGATAAAGAATTTTTTTCAGTTGCTTAAAGCATGTGGAGAGCGTGAATTGAAGAAATCAAACAGGTTTTTAATCGCATCTTCAGATTGCCTTACGGTTAAATCATAACGAAATAACTATCTTTCAGTTATGTTGAACCCTGAACTTGAACTCCATAATCCTTCAAAATAAGAGCAAACGTCATGGTCTTAATGATAGATACGCACGTGAAAACCCCTCTGTAACAGTGGTTTAAGGAGTGTCACAATGTACGTCATTGCCAGATCAGTAAGAAAAAATATACATTACATCAAGTGTGTATCTTGTTACCTTGAGTTTCAAAACACCAGGTACCTCTGTGGAATAAAAAAAACGACTCAAATTAGTTACCCAAAAGTGGAAATAAATTGAAGAAAAATAACAGTAGCTCAGATTGCGCATGCTTGATCATACATTTCATTGGCTACAGATATAGTTTACCAACTTCTTAAATGTCATCCCTTGTTAATACTGATAATGCTCTCCTGTTTCAAAAACCTCAGTTCACATGAGAGTGTGTTTGAATGAGGGAAACAACCGTGAAAGTTTCTCAATTATATTTCCTGAACGTTTGCTACTTAAATGCAAATATCAACCTCCAATATATTATTCAATTCATGCTACGAATATGGAATCGATCCTCGCAGTTATTAGCATTACTGAACTAGTTGTTGAAATAAGGCCTGAAAAAAATTCAGGCCCGTACGAGATTTGAATCCATGACCCCTGCGATACCGGTGCAGCTACTAGTTCAGCAGTGTTCATAACTGCGAGGATCGATTCTATATTCGTTTTTTCAACCGCAGTGAACACTTATGATTGTCATATGTTTATACTATTTACCACTAGTGAAAACTCCACTTGCGACTGCCAGGTTTCTTTTTTTATCGGGAAAATCCTGAGCAATCACTGTCACACTGACAGACCTATCGCTGCCGTAAATGATAACTGATACTGTCTCCTCCACACCGAGATGAAAGATATTTGGAGCCGTAATGAACAGTCGGGCGTTACTATGAGGTCAAGGAATAAGAGAAAAACAAAAAGATAAGTCAATCAGTAATTTAATCACTTCATCAAGTTTCAATGCCACTATACTCAGTATGGGAGAATGCTCGGGGTGTCGCAAGACTCTGTACCATGAATATGTTGTTTCAGAGAATCCCCTCTCCGCTTTGGCACAAGACCTGAAAACCCACAGAGTCGATTATTGGCATGCACCGTTGGGTACAAAGTGAGCACCTCAGCCGAGCAAAGAAAGTTGGTTGGTCTGTTATTCAATAAGTCAGTCAGTCAGTCAGTCAGTCAGTCCGTCAGTCAGTCCGTCAGTCAGTCAGTCCGGCAGTCAGTCAGTCAGTCATTCATTCAGTCAGTCAGTTAGTCTGCCAGTCAGTCAATCAGTCAACCAATCAGTCAATCAGTCAGTCAATCAATCAATCATTCATTCATTCAGTTAGTCTGCCAGTCAGTCAATCAATCAACCAATAAGTCAGTCAGCCAGTCAGTCAATTAATCAATCAATTGACCAATTAGTCAGTCAGGTACTCAGCCCGTCAGCGATGCAAGCCAAGTTGTCAGTCAGTTAGATAGTCAATAAATCATGAGTCAGTGAGTCAATTAGGTCGTCAGTCAATCAGTCCGCCAAAACTCAACCAGTCACAGTCATTTAATCGGTCAGTCAATATATCAATCACTCAAATGGTTAACCGCTACCTATTTGAGTGACTGATATATTGACCAGAGATTAATTCGTTTAACAAACTAATCAATCACGGGTCCATTGATCACTTCATCTATAGGAACTAGTAAAACTCTCAAGACATCAATCACATGTCAGTGGACCTTTAATGTTACTCTAAAATTTCCATGGCATTTCTTTATAAGAAGTTACAGGTCGAAACCTGTTTTGATGAAAAAAAAATTGCAATTGCTATACTTTGACCGCTAAAGTATTTTTTAATCAGTATATTTGTACACAAAAATAGCGATGCTAATCCTACCTACTTCCCATTTGCATCAGCTGATGATGCCTCAAAGATTCCTCATCCATTAATAATTTTATTTTGCGCGGAAGCTCAACCCCACCAGGGCTCAATTAAGCAAGTTTCCTTTGTTAAAAGGGCACAGGAATTCAGAGTGCGAGTGTTAACGCGAAAGAGTAGAATTTTGAGTGACCTAGTGCTATGGTATTTTTCGAAACGAAAATTATATCAGCTCACTTTCCACTTGTTAAAGGAATAAAGAGCCTTAACAGTAAAGAAGATCGATTGCAAGACAAATCGCTTACTATCGGCGTGAGGAGAATTGATATCGGAGACTTAAGTTTATAAAAGGACTTCCGCTATAGCTTCAGCACAGATTTATCATCAGAACAATGGGACGTGCTGGGACCCAGTCGTCACAGCTGTACAGGAAGTCATGCACATGTAACGAACTAAGGTCTCAATTTCATATCTCAGTAACACAACGGCGTATCCAACGCGACTTCAGAGTTTTCAACCCATCCTATAGCTTGGAAATCAATTGGCTTTTCAGATCTGGTTTCTCTTTCTTTACGATTCTAATTCAGTTGAATCGAAGATGCACAATTCTATCGTTATAAGGACGATAAGTGAATCAATATCTATCAAGGAACTCTGAAAACGATGACAACATGAGCTCTTAAAGTTAGTAAGTCAGCAGCTTACCTTTTTGCCAAAGCAACTGTTCCTCCGAAAAACATCACTGACAAAATTGTAATCATTTTGCGCACTCAAAATCCCATTTAAACGAGATATGTTTCGATATTAAACGGAATTCACAAGAGAGAGAAATTAGACTCCTCAGCACGTACTCTGAAATGGAACTGCTGGAAGTCGGACAAATAAATTCAAGGTTACGAGCTTGACCGTAACGTGATATTCCTAAAAAGCGTTACCGACGGTGCTATTTATGGCCGATACCAAGATTCTATTTAGGCTAACGTTACATTTGAGGAAATCGTGAATACTTTGGTATTGGTTTTGATTCGAGTTAGAATAGACCCTGAAGATGTTTCACAAATATGTTTTGGTTTAAAATTATTAGCATCTTACTGTTATTGGACAGTTTAAAAAAAAAATTAATGTAAATTTAGTCTAAACGCTATATCAAAGTCATTAGACCGAAGATTGATAGAAAAAGCCAATGAGAGTAAACTTGAAAATGTGCACTGAAAGTTCTTTATAAGTAGTGAAGATGTTTCCTGATTGAAACTTCTCGCGAAATTTGATTAAGGTTGTAAGGTTTAAACTTTTAAGAAGCACTTAAGATGTAATGTCCCGTCCATTATAACTGTGATAAAATACGTTCTACATCTAACAATGGAAAGTAATTAATGGTGGGTAAACTCAGTGCATTCCCTGGGATCCCTTAGATTCAGCAAAAAGCACAAAAAAAAATAAATTGCACCTGGAAGTCGAAAGGTTTAAGTAGCGTCACGGTATTACGTCATTTTTCATGCATGATTAGTTGTAACGGTATTTTTTTCTCAATTTGTAAACTTGTAATGGTTAAGATGCAGACGAAATTCCTATTTATTTGAAATCATGCGTTATTCAGAGAGCGAGTCTTTCATTCTCTAGTGCACTACAATTAAAAAAATTTCCGTAGCTACCCTTAACAAAATGTACTGATTTTATCTACTCGAAAAACAGGAAACGCTCGTAAGGATGCGACGATACAAACAAATTTAGCAGATGTAAACGATTGCCTTATTTTCCTTGGAGGAAAGATCATTGCAATTCCATGAGCTCTTTTTAGTTTCACTCACTCACTGGTTTAATTTGGTTCACAAACTATATGCAACGATCAAAAACCACTGGGATTTATGCAGTCCTAGGTCATTAAATGATTAGCTAATACAAAGTAACTTTTAAAAAACGGCTTCCGCTTGGTGACCGGTTTCTGGATTGTCTTGTGACAATCGGTCTACCCTCTTAGAGCAATAACCTGAGAAAAATATCTACGCGCTACGGGACACATTTACGAATATGGAATCAAAGCAAGATGTCAATAGTTTGTCTAAGCTGTTTATACAGCTTTGAATACATTTGTTTAAAACGCAACTGGGAAAATTAAATTTGTCACACGGAGTCGTAAAACGTAATTAACTCCATGATAAATGTAAAACTCTTGTGAAAATCTCCTTTCAGAAAAACCACTCTTTGTTGTCTATTTTGAGGTGAATTTCGGTAGTTTTTCTGCTAAAAAATTATCCAAAATTTTGCGCCATAGTTATTTTATGTTGAAAATTTATAAATTTGAAAAACATACTGGAAGCACATTATTCAGTCAGTATCAGCGATGGCCGCGCGAGTTAAACAAAGAAATAGACGTTTTGATAGCGACACTTAAAAATAAAATGTCACTTCTTCATCTCTTTTTACAGTAGCTTTTTCCCTCCTACGTTAATCGGAATGTAATTTCTGCCACAGACTGATTTCGGACATAATTTACAACGTTTAGCAATGACCAATCGGCCGATGGAACGAACCACATTAAAAACAAATTGACAAGATGACATGGTTAAAAAAAAAACTGAGGAGTATTTGAATTAGCTTGTGATAAAGAAGTGATTGCAATCTCGCTTCGTTCTGATTCAAGCCGTGTCTTACATGGTACATCTGCCGAGAAAGATAAGCTTTAACGTGAGGGCTTCGACGCTGAATTCGACTCGCAGAGCAAAGGACATATCCGAAATAACACAAACAACGAAATATGATGAGATTTCTTTCTAAAAACAGATACGACACTTAGGAATGAAGCCGGAAAACGTGGCAATTTTACACTTTCCTATAGGGTCTTCGAGTGACAGATAATTGGTCGATCACATCACTACTGATCAAAACTCTATCAATATTTAGCTTTTACTTGTAAATAAATTATACACACGGCAGATTGTCCATCCCACTGAGTTTGTCAGAATGAATTAACAAAAAAATAATGAATGTGTTTCCTGATTATTGATGATTGCTGACAGCCGAGGAAAATCTTCATGTCAATCGCTTTGTATAAAATTAATTTATTTAGAATAAACAAAGTTGGTTTGAAGAAAGAGGAAGGACACAGCAAAACCTTGAGTTGCAATAGATTTCATCTTGAAACACGGTAAGTGAATACAGCACGAACACTGGTACAGGAGATTATCATCACGGCTAAAATGAAAGAATGGAAAGAGCATGTAGTTCTCTTTTTATACCCTAGCTAGAGGGAGAGTACTGAGGTTTCTCTTCGTATTTTATCTGTGAATATCTGGCATATAAAGTATGAATATAATGCATGGAAATATTTTCTTCCAAACGTAGAATCGATATCATTTCCCCTCAAACTATTGTTTGTAAAGGGAATCTCTCAACTCTGAAAATATAGGAATATTAGCTGGTAGCATTTTTTATGTGAAGTTTTAATCTGGATATGTCCAATTTTTGTAGAGGGCAACCAAAGTTTATCGCGTCGTAAATGAATACTGTTTGACAAGACACAGTTCAGACGTGTGACTTCAAATAATACACATCGATTTCAATAAATTCATTACGTTCACGTGAGGTGTTACAACGTCTGAATCGCTTCTAAACGGCAGTCAAAATTCGGATCGGATCAGCCTATCTTAACATGAAGATCACACGCGGAATCGTCAGTAACGTTTGTAAGCTTGCGTTATATTCTCACGCCATCCTTAGGATGCATTAAAAAATTGTTTAGCTGGAATTATGAAAGGTGTATGAATCAGTTCAGTCAAACTAAATTGATAACCGTCGGCCTAAATTTTAATTTGATTGAACATAACCATAATAATATGAAGACGGAGATGTATCGTTGCTGGTTCATAATCTTTTGATGAGGAAATCTGAATGAAATTCGCCGCTTTGAACCTTTACAGAAGGTCAAAGTTGTGTTTTTGATGTAGTACTGAAGATAACCCTGAATTACTATAAATAAATTTGACTTCGACCAAATATTTATCTGTAAGGAAATCCTCAAAAGAAATTCAAATACGAGCTATAGTTATATAGCCAATGAAGCTGGAAAGCATGAAAACTGAGGTCAAAATGCCTTTGCCGGTTCTATAGTTTAAATGGTCGTCTGATAACAATTCGATTAAAAACATCAAAAAACAAAAAGACACACGAGCCTAAAGTAATTGCGTCTTTAACATTTTCAGCGCAGTTTGACGTCTTTTGCGATTATTATTTCTGAAGAGACACACGATAAAAAGTAATCAGCAACCTACATTTTTCAGGCTGAGTGAACGCGTACATTTAAATTTGAATGGATGCAGACTAAAATTGCCTCGTGTATGGGTGAAAAGTCTCTTTTCGAGAATTGTCTACCTACTATTCCTGTGCGCGCTGAGCCAGATAACTGAAACCCTTAAAAAAATAGAAAGAAAATTCTTATCAAAAATAAACTAACTAGATGTACAACATAGCATAAACTTCACTTATAATCTTTCAGATTTCCATCTATCACCAATGAGGGACGTTGGCCTTGTTGCAGCTTTCTCAGTCATGGTTCTGATGGACCTTGTTGGCAACACAATGGTTATCCTCGTAATACTCTTAAACAAGTCCATGAAAACACCAATGAATCGCCTGTTGCTAAACTTGGCCGTTGCAGATGTGACAGTGGCCATTTTCACGGCATTACAGTTCGTTCTTGGACCCTTTTATCAACACCCAACTGGAAGCACAGGGGTTTTATTGTGTAAGTTCATCACAGGGGGGCCTATGATATGGACAGCAGCACTTGTATCAATATGCAACTTAGTTGCCATCTCGTATGAAAGGTGAGAAGTGTTTCATCCGAAGCCTCCCCCAAATATTCAGCATGCTCCAACTACCTATCGGCTTCCCACCAACCCAACCCACCCGACATCTCTACCTACCAACCAGCTACTACCTTACTTGCCAAACTACTGACCCACTTATCTACCAACCCACCAATCTTTCGACCATCCAACCTACGATGAGTGACAAAAGTTATGACACGCTCTACTACACCTTGAATTCTCTCTATAACTCCAGTTTATCTCCCCCACTCCTCTCCTTCATTTCAGCGTTGCCTGGGGTTAACAAAATGGTCCCTAGTTTCTTGCAACTTGTTTGGAGGGAAAGCGGGACTTTCAAGTAACTTAAAAGAGATTAATCACAATATCTCTGTTTATCATGTTGAGTGGGGGCTTTCTCCACCAATCATGCCGCCCATCTTAGACACTCACCGTACCTACCTAACTATCTACCTATTGCCCTACCTAATGCCTACACACGCAGCCATCCTCTCGATTGGCTACCTTCCTCCTTCCTACTTACATGTTCTTTGCCAATTTCCCGGCCTACTTAACTAATATGTGACACCACCCAACAGTTCCGGCCCCGGTTGTTCGAAGGTCGGATAACGCTATTCACTGGACAAATCCGGTAGATAGCGCAGTACGTTTTGCTATCATTTATCCGCTGGATAGCGATTTATCTGTTGGATAGGGTTATCCACCCTTAATACAACTGTACCTTGGTATCTAGGGTCACCCTTCCACTTTTTTTGTGGCCGAAATGACATTACTAGTTCATCAGTCCTTCACGGACAGTTCACCTGTTCCGCAATGTATCGGATCAACTCATCTTTATTGTCTCGTTCTTGACAATTTCTCTAAGATATCAAGCGGTTGTGCTGCCCCTTTCAGGCCGTGGAGAAATTACAAACTGGAAACTTAAATTCATCATCCCAGGCTGCTGGTTGGCGGGCTTCCTTTGGAATATTCCTCTTCTTGTGACCGTGACCTATCAAGAGGAATCAGGAGCCTGTGGAGAGTATTGGCCTGGCCCCATATCGCCAATAGCTTACAGTTTAGGGTGGGACGTAGTTGCTGGAACATTGCCCATCACTGCAATGAGTTATTGGTACTCAAAAGTTGTTTGCCACCTTTGGTTTGGTAAAACTCCTGGGGTTAAATCTGCGGCTACTGTAAGTGCTTATGAAAACTTGCATTCTAGAAAGTTTTAGCTAGTCGTCTTCCAAAGACAAACAAATGAAGGCTGATAGATTATCCCACCCTTGAATAAGAGCGTGGCGGAGGAGCTCCAAGGGGCACTTGTGAATCTCCGTCGGAAAGAGAAACAAAATCAAAACTATACTTCTAGCGTTGATAGATTTACAAAGATTGCAGATTTTTAGCTTGTTCGTCAAATACAATAAGATATTGCCACAAGTGCATAACAGAGAAAAAATGTTGCCTGAGTACCACGCCTTTCCGGATCTTTTTTATGCTGGCAGAATAAAGATGAGCAGCTCGAGGGTATGGGGCCAAGACATCCAAAAAAAATGTGACAAGCAGGGAAGAGGTGTAAATACAGAAAATTTTTAAATAGCACAGCCACTACTAGTGTTTTTATCTCTCTCTTTTGCAGAAGATGGTTATTTTGCAAAGAAAAAGAGCAACCTTAGTAGTCATCTCTGTTAGCATCATCTACGCCATATGTTGGGTACCAGTCCTAGTGATGTACACTGTGGCCCACACCCTTCCAAACCAGGAATTGTACAGTCGTCTACATAGAGTCACCATTTTATTAGCCATGTTCAATTCTTGCATCAATCCAGTTGTGTACAGCTTCACTAGTACTCGTTTTCGAAAACAATTTTTAAGACTTTTAAGGTGCACGAGAACAGCTAAGGGCGAGCTAGCCTCCTCTCACAAAAAGCAACAAGAGCAACCTATAGTGTACCTCTGAGAATTTACAAAGAAGAAATCCAAAGAGAGGTTGATCCTGCTTCTGTTTTGTTATTCTAATGAACTCATGGCTAGAAGGCTGAAATTTCAAGTGGCTGATAACTGTCATTTTACATAAGCAGAATCGCAGACTCTTTACCATATCTAGAAAGTCAGGGTACTACATTAAACCTTTGACTCTCAAGACTCCAAACGTAATTCTCCTTACCATCTGCCATATAATTTATGTGATGTTAGTTTTGAGAATTTGGAATTGGATCAGCCAATAATCCCCTTATTGATATTTTTCTTTATTCTCATTTCTTGTCTGCTTGATATCATACTGATAATATAAGGACAGATTCTGTCTAGGTCACTAGTGGGACTTAAAGGGTTAAGACTTATCTTAATTCAATCTGAATGGAGGATATTTTGTAAAAAGGCCGATATACCATTTAGCAATAACAACAGTATGAGGGGCGCTTTGACCTTGTGGCTCCTACATGTACATCAGTATCTTGTTAAAGACCTAGATCCCAGTCCCCACTATGCTTATTGTCTTATGTTTGCCCAGGAAAAGCAGTGGTTTCTCCTAGAATTTATTTCCAATAAACCAAAAGTTCATAGAGAAGACAACTACAAGACAACAATACAACATGTAATTCACATAAATCAATTACACTAAACTATTGTAATTACTCTATTTTAAACATTGTTGAGTGATTAGAAATGTTTTTATTATTAATGTTACATTGTGAATCAGAGAGCCAAATAAACCAGAGGTTTATTTGAAAAATCAGCTCCCTATACATTTCAAGTTGCAGGTGGTAGCAAGTTAGTAAAGAAAAAAACAGAGAACCAAAACACAGACAAAATAAATATATAAATAAACAAAATATGAATTTATACAACAAAGGAAAAGTTGGTTTAACTTTTCTAATTGTAGGGGAAGGCAGCTAAATTTCTTTTTGTTGTGACACTACATAACGTTTGACTTGCTATAGAAATGAAATTACACTTAAGTCTGTTAAAGATGGTGGAAGATCATTCTAAATATCAATTGCCATGTAAGAAATTGATTGTTTACCCACATTAGTTCATACTTTAGGCTTGTAAAGATTATTTTTAGCTGCATATCTTGTGTTGTAGCCATGTAAGTTACTAGTGTATTGAACATGGTGTCAGATACTTTGGGCAGTAGGACTTTAACCCCTTAACTCCCATGAGTGACCAAGACAGAATTTCTCCTTACAATATCATTACAATATCAAGCATATAAGTGATGAGAATGAAGAAAAATATCAGTAAGGGCATTATAAGTTGATCCAATCCCAAATTCTCCAAACTAACATTGCAAGAACTGTTTGGCAAACAGTAAGGAGATTTACTAATGAGATCTTGGGGTTCAAGGGTTGAGAGAGACAGATTTACCACTAAGCTCCTTCCTGCCAAATAGTTATGCTAGAGACCAACATTACTTGACAACAAAAATTCACATCAATGCAAGTATTGCAAAGGAATCTTCAGTTTTCACTTACCATGAAATACTAAGAATTTGTTCATATACCATAAGACAAAAATGAGTTATTCACATCTAAAAGTGATTAACTATTTGCTATTTCATTTGTTAATAAATGTCAGAGACAATAGTTGTCTTCAGCATCCATTTATGTGAACCACACTATGTTAAAATAATCTTTTCATATAGTGAATTGTAGCTTTATTTGTGTTCAAGTCTTGCTTTTATAATGTTCAGTATGTATATGTTGTGGTTCAATTTTATCAAATTTTATTTTCTTTGTGTTTTTGGGTATTGTAATATATGATAATGAGTTTGAACCAAAGGAAAATAAAATTTGAACCAAGGATAAAATTGAACCACAACATACACATTAGACTCTTCTTGCAAATTTGGGCACATGTGATACAATTGTAATGAGAGGGTCCTTGAGAAGTGGAACCTCAACTGTGCTTAGCTGACATTGGGAAAAAGAGGTGGTTTGAATGCCTGCAAGGCAACGTTGCTTAGTGCCACTTACAGACAAAATTCACTGCATGACATCCCTAGAGACAATGGAAGACTAGGTGACAGTCTTACATGATTTACTATAAATAGGAGCCAAACAAACATTCTCAAATTGGTTGTAGTCATCAAAAGGTGGGGGAGAGAGCAGCAAAAATAGAATGAAAATGAAAAGATATAAATGGATATTCCTTGGCCATTATGGTAGATATTAAATTGGACACTTGAAAGTTGGTAACCTGCTATAGATACAACTGATGATATAAAGAGTTTCCTTCCATGGCTGACTTTGCTGGTAAGTGAAACATAGAGAAACCTGACTTTTGATTGGGTACCTGAGCGGACAAGATGGAAAGTTGGCAATTCCAGTGTCACTTGGAATTGCCCACTCCCAAACTGCATGAAAACTCTTGCAATTAGCTGACATACTCTGTGACTTCTGGCAACCTGTTAATTTTTTTTTACAAGGAATATCTTTTCCAGAAGATGTTAAAACTACTCCTCTCAACCCCCACAAAAACTTAACAAAACCAATCACCTTAACCTGCACCAGGTTAGTGATGAATTCAAAATGACACTTGTGTTCTCAAAAATTAATCCCATAATTCATTTTTGTCTCATCCTGTAGATTGTTACTGCTGTTATTACATGCTGTTGAAACTAGTAGCACATTGCATTGACTATGAAGCTTTTTGAATTTTTAAGACTTCTCTTGCAAGTTACTATCTCATTATTGGTAAGTTGTTTAACCCTTTAACTCCCATAAGTGACCAGGACAGAATTTCTCCTTACAACATCAACCAGATAGGTGATGAGAATAAAGAAAAATATCAATTTGGAGATAATTAGTTGATCCAATACTAAATTCTCTATACTAACATTATAAGAGTTGTATGGTTGACAGTTAGGAGAATTACAAATTTGATCTGAGAGTTAAATGGTTAATGGTGAGTCAAAGGGGCTGCAAAACCTGACACTTGTCTTATCTATATAAAAATCCACAGAGGGTATGTGTAGCTACAATGTGCCAGATACATCACAAATCATTATCAATATCCAATGCAGAGACATTGTGGAATAACTCTTTTTCTCAGATAGAACATTAATTAATATCTACTGGATATCATTGAAAATATCAAAGAACAGTAAGTTGATAAACAATACCACAACTCTGGAGTTTAACCTGTTTTAAACAAAATACCTATGGAATTTTTGCTCTCTTTTCCTCTGGCTCACCATCTTCATTCCCATTAGTTTCAGTTACACTGTTCTCGTTGACAGCACCTTTACTTTCCTCATCTTCATTGCCAAAGGTACTGTTTATATTCCTTTCATTCTCATTAGGTTGTAAAGATAACAGCTTCCCTGAAATTATGGACTTTTCTGTGCCTTTTCTGGCCTCAGAATGAAACAAAACAGCTCTACAGTTTTTTGTAACTGCAGATTTTGATTGTTCTTCCTTTAATTTAAAGAGCATTCCTAGATTAACGATATCATACGGTCCACGAAAATCAAGCACGTCCTCTGCTCCACTTGTTATGATGATGTTTTTTCCTTTGGTGAAAATTGCGAGGTCCATAGCAATAGACAACATTGTTGTTCTTTCCGACGGACTCCGCAACGCAGTCGAATAAATAATCTCAAAATGTACTCCACGCTCAGCGGCTGCATGAATTGCTGGGAACCTTAAGTGAAAGGGTAACCTCCTCGTCATATCAAAGGAAATAATGTCAATTTCTAGCGTCTTGCAAGCTTGTTGATAAAGTTTATCAGTTGTTGGCTGAACGGCTAAAATATCAAAAGACTGCACAACTTCGCTTGAAATTATTGCAACGTGGCTTTGATCCTCCAGTGGTACAGTTATCCGCGAATAAAACTTCAACTTGGGGTTTCTTTTTCTCATGTCTTGAATGGAAGGAAGAGCATCCCAATCTATTGGTGTCACAGCAACGTGGTTTTTTACCTTTCTCTTTCCTTTTTTCTTCCCTTTATCTACCTCATTCTGGAATATATAGGTTTTGGAGATTGCAATAGTCTCGTAACCGAGCTTAACAGCTTTAGCGACGAGTTTTTCAGTTGCACGTGGATCATCGAGGAAGGGAACGTTCAGATCAGCAAACGCCGCCATATTGAAAAATATACCCGCTGACCAGCTGATTCTTTGAACTTACGGACTCAATCTCGACCAGAAGAACTGAATAGACCGTCAAAAATTGGACTGGACTATCCAACGTCGAACGGAATAGTTCAGGACAAGTTCGACTACGGGCAAGACATTTGAATTCCAGTTTCCAGCATAATATCATCAATATTTATAACTCCTGAAGCTTCTCTGTACTCTCAATTAGCAACAAAGTTGGAACAATTTTCATGGCACGGTACGGTGCTTTTCTTCATAGAAAAGTGCGAGACCGCTAATGGGTCGAATCTTGTTTTTGCTCAGGGCTTCATTTCACGAAACTCTTCTCATAATTTTGTTGGTGAACTAAATATTTCGCTGGAAGGAAATCTTGAAAGCGTTGTTTTCGTCTTGGAATCTCTACTTCTCGCATATCCTACATTCTACCTCAACTTGCAGTTGTATTACCGATTCCACCCCTCAAAACTCCCTATCAACTTCATGATCATTTCACGATCTAAAATGCTATTGGGAATTTTTGTCGAGTCTATCATAATAACTATCTTACTCTAAGAGATGTGTGGCATATAATCGGGTATATAATCTACCTTCAGGTATGATACAAGGGTCTACCAGATATTCGGTGAGACCCCCTCGTACTTACAAACATTTAGCCTTTCGATCCCCCTGACTCACAGGAATCCGATTGCATACACTCACTTCAATAGCCAATATAATGACACCTCTAGCTAACTGTGGTAAGCTTCGCAGTCTTCCATCAGAGTCGTGAATTAATGCTAAACCTAGATATAGCTTCATTAAACGGAAACCACATATCAGCCACTTTTAAGACACTATTAAGCTATATAAAAGAGGATATATACCCTTGCTAAATGCCAGCAATAACGAACTATTGAAATCAGAAATTATAAGGATTCTCCTGTTTGAAACATTTTCGTGTGAGATTTAATTGAAAAGATTAAAGTTGTCACGAAAACGGGACACTCTGTCACATCAGCTTATTCAGGCGTTCCAGATGTTATTGCATCTGGCAGTTCTTGAACTGGAATTGTAATATAAGGAGCGTGTATGGGGAAGGATTAAATTAAACAGGAGGGAATTGTGAAAAGGTAATAAATAGTAGTACCCAGAGTAACATTCCTCACAACAAAGATGATTGTGAAGAGTCCGTGGATACTGTGGGGAAACATTTTACTGCTTCTTCTGCTATGTTCGGGTATGTAGACACAGTGAAATAATGTTGTTTTGCAACCTAAGACTAATATTCAAACCTTACTGTACAGGAATCAGCTCCAGAAAGACTAAAAATCAGAGTGCATCTAGAATTAATCTAGACGTACACATACTCAGAAAGCGGCAGTGTTACCGGCGACCGCGGTCTAATTTATGTTTTACAAAACTTTGTTCTTCTCTGTTTCTTTGAAACAAATATGTTTAAATTCGGGAACCATTCAGCACCATATTCCTTGAGACGATTCATCAGTCTCTTTAGCCTATCTTACCACTTTTTAGGCAAACGCAGGCAACTTTTTTATACCGTCGATGTCATCTGATTCTGCTAAATTATATCTTTGCCAAACGGTTTACAACAATACGACCGTGAATAACTGTTAAGTTAATTTCTATGTGCTTAGCTATAGTTCGAAGGAGCTCGAAGGAGCTCGGAGCAGCTCGAAGGAGTTGTATCTTGCTTTATGTGTGAACGACTGAGTTTACTTCTTCTTTATTTTAAGTATTCGGAAGGAATTCATTCCTTTTAGTCTGTAAGTTCGAATAGAAAATCGCCCTCTTATTGTTTGGAAATTATACTCACAAAGGCAATATATGAATGAATTGGCATTGTTACATGACTTAGATGGGGTCTTTCAGGCTTTATTCTCACTTCTGCGCATGCTTGAGCAAAGTTCAGTACCGCAATAATCACCCTCATGTATCTTCACGACTTGGAGTGAAACTGTTTTCTGCCTCGGAGAGTTAGAACGCATCAATAAAAAAAATATTATTGTCTTGAATGACTCCGTGTTTACTTATGCACAGGTGTATTGTCAAGAGCGTTGGAGAAAAGAGCTTCAGGTAAGAAAAGCCTTCGGCGATATAAATACTGTAAATGTTCTGTACTTTGCCAAAAAGGCCGAACAGTCGAACAGTCGAACTGGCTCTGGTGCAATGTATCATCGGGGCCAAAATTAGACCTCAGAAGCATCAGAGGAGAAGTGAAAAAAAAAAGAATTGGAGACCCGTTAAAAGGAAATTCGTCACGGTTTGTCTATCTTGAAGACTTCGACCTTAATTTTTTCATGTTTAGTAATTTACATTGTCGTGTCCCTCTTTAGTGTTTCTCTTCTTTGAGGTGCATAATTATTTACTGAAGATTTATTGCTGGGATAATAAAAGTTCTTCAAAATTACGTGACGTATCTCTTTACATGTGTGGACATATGATTAAAACCGCATTATTTGCCGTCATCGAAGATAAAGGCGGCCTCATTGTTAATCTCAAACACAATCATTGACTTTCAAAGAATTTCTTTACATCGCCTTCCGGTGGCAAAGTCCTCTTCGTCAAAGTCGGGAAAATGTATCTTATTTAGCTATTCCTTACATTCCGCCGTTAAAAAAAAAAACATCACTAAACTCACCCGGATGTCTTATTTTACACCTTGGTCTAACTTCTGGCGGAAGAATTCTCTTATTCGCTCTGCCTTATTTCTTTTCCAGATTTTTGTCAAAGCCATGCAGCTGGGGTGCACGCTGATCCTAATAACTGCTTTGGTTTCATAATGTGTGACATGGCTGGTACCACACATGAAATGTCATGTCCTGCGGGACTTAAGTTCAATCCTGCTATACTTGTCTGTGATTGGCCGAACAATGTCGAGTGCGAGGATGCTGGAAGTGGAGAGCCTGCAGGCTAGAGAAACCGAGTAGGATCCGGTCCCCCTCATCATTGACCAATGAAGACGTAATATTTCAATACTTAGATTACGTGTAATAGAAACATTATATTCCCAAATAAAACATTGTGACAATATGATTTCTATAAGTGCAAAAATTTTCTTCTGGTTTGCTGAGAGTTAGGCAAGCCTTGACCATGATATGATAAGGCGGATGACTTTTTTATGAAGACCAGCGAGTATCAGAGGCTAATTGATCCTAGGTTCTAATTAATTCCCAACGTATAATTGATCGACTTGTACCTGTCCCGGCGAGCAAGCCCACAGAAAATTCTCCAATCATCAGGAAAATATTGTTATGATGCTCTTTTTTAAAAAAAGCTTGAACCTTCAGTCTAGATGGAAATGTGCGATTTCCTGGACTTGAATTAATTCATCGTGGATGGATAAGATGAAACCGTACTTCATATGATTCTTTTTGAATTTGGTAACTCCCGCAAAGCAAAAACACCTTTGCTCGCTCGTATACAGCCGCTCTCCATCCTCCAAAAAGAAAATGAAACGGGCTCACCAAAAGTTAACAAGCTCAGGGATAAGAACTTAGCCTCGAGGATCTGTCCACATCATTGATATAAATCGTTCATTTGCCTCAATAATTTTACCTTTTTATGAAGTAAAAGCTCTTCTAAACGGATGCTGAAGTATCCGTCAGATGTAAGTGACAGATCATCACTACCCACGGGAGCTTTCCCGCTGAGTTAATAATAAAAAAATTAACATTTGATGTGCGTGGCAACACAACAATCACTGAAATATGAAACAGCAAGATGGCGCTGAAGAGTAAATTGACTTCATTACGATTCATGGTCTTCAAAGGTTTATTGCCATTTACCCGACTGGGAATTCGAAAAACAGATATCATTAATTTATGAAAATACTTTGTGTTGCTTTAGAAAAATCTGAGCCAATATGGCGCAACACGTTAGCCTCACCATAACTGACTTTCCTCTCTTCTAAGTCCAAATTGGTTTAACACAATTGCTGCAAAATCACTGAAAAATCTCTGAAACTTCGAAATAGCTTAGCAATTCTTTTAATCCATAGGCTGTTGCTAGGACAATACGTTGCTCATTTTCCTAATTCAAATATATCTAATTGCCTAAATGAGTTCTTCAAGCAGGTGGAATAATTTGATTCATCTTTCAAAACCTAATGTCAAAGTCATGCATTAAGAATCAATATATTGAACAACAGAATTACTGAACGTCCGTCGCAAACGTTTACAACATATTGAACCCTCGCTTAAAGCTACAGAACGACTGTTCAGTTCTCCGTTATAGCTGCGTTCGCCACATATCACCCGCTTGGTAAGTAACCATGAGATGCATAACTCTACCAATTATGAAATCTCTTTGTTATTATTGATTTTTAAAAGCAAAGTCGGATAGCTTGTTTTGTCTTGGAACTACCTCACTTCCCCTTTCCTTTATTATGAAAAACTCTGATGCATTCCAAGTAAGTTGCAATACGAAGAAAATATGTTTTTGAAATTGTATTTTACGACCTTTCTTCGTATACTAGATTTTAAGAGATAACACCTTTACCCTAAGTTTTTATGTCACACAGATTGTAGATATTACAAACGGGTAGTATGTTGGTGCAACTTCATATCTCTCGGCAAATTACGCATTTTCTTAATTCTTTAATAACACCTCGTTTCTGTATTAAAAAACAAAGAAACAAAGAGCGAGATTCCACGATATCAGTCACACTACGATTTGAATTGATTTGAGAAGAGACATTTCAAAACGAGGAAAGTTTTTACAATTGTTCATTCAAACACGTTCCACCATCAATTCATCCGAATCTTCACTTTAAGGTTGTTCCTATGTCGAATTTTTTTTAATCAGTTTATATGTTCCCACTCATTTACAAATTTATCAATGAAATGTTTGTATGACACCCTCATCATTCATACTAGGAAAAATATGCATTTATTTCAACTTAGACAATTCGCCACCAATTCTCTAAGGAATAAAAAACAATTCTAGTGTCACATTTGCCCTTAACCAAACAAACCGAACAGGCGTGTCGGCAATCGAGCGATAAAGCGACATCAAAAATCCCCTTACAAGACCTCAATTTTTTAAAACACGAAATGGCGGCTCTTTTATCCTGTCCTTCTGCGTGCAGTCCATTTTTTCCTTTCAATAATTTAGAGTAATAAAGAATTCAGTTCTTTCTCTCAATACCACGTTTCCAAGTAATGAAGGTCTTAGTTTAAAATCATTGAAAAGGGGAAGCCGAAAAAAGGATGAAAGTTAAGGTTCATTTTGCTACAAATCCCATCATTGTAATGTAGAAGGTTAACTTCTTTCAAGAGATAATAACCTGATTTTATGATCTCCTTCATATTTTCAGTAAAAATAAGTTACTTAATATGCTGTGTAAATTTTTCATTCATAATATAACATACTAACCTGACCAAATTTATATTGACTCATGCTTGTTTACCCGGATTCATATTAAAACATATACTTATTGCAAAAATGAAAGGCGACACATGACGACTACTTTTCTTACCAACGTCGTGTTACTATGATAACAATTTCCGGAATTTCTTTTTCGTTCCGCTCAATGAATTCCCAGTTAAGTGCCTTCAAACTGATGTTATAACTTCATACTTATTGGATGTCAATTTTAAAGTATGGGTGAGGCACAGATAGGTGGAATTTAGCTAAAGAACGTCCAACGCAAAGGGGAAGGTACTGGAGACTCCTTGTCCTTTACGGTCTTCTTTAATCCCTGTTCTCTGCCACAGGTCTGTTTAATATAGATTCAACTCTTTTCTTTAATCACTATGTGGCAGACTCTGAATCTCATCACTTCTATCTAACTCTAACTCTGATTCTAACGAAGCACTAACTTGCAAACCAACTGACCGTATCGGAATCCTGACCTACTTTCACGAGAATGGTACGAATGAAAAACAGCTTACCTGACGTTTCTGATCAAACGAACAATCTTTGACAACGAAAGCCCGAAAAAAGGAACTCTAGCACACTTTTAGACCCCAAGAAAACATACATACAAAGCCCTAATTTCAGACGAAACATAAATGTAGGTTAGCATTTCAAATTTATAACTGAGGTGAAAGTTTATTTGCCATAGGCTTAGAGTTAGGCAATGAATGCTTGTGTCCATTGCAGCAAGATATCTTAGTTGATTGTGCAATAAAATGAATGCAACTTTACTTGTATGACTTTGTGCGTGGAAAAGCCGGCGAAATTCATCTCAGCAAACTCCATTGCTATCTATTACAATCTAATCCATCCCAGATCCACTCTCATTCACCTAAGAAATTCTAGCTAGCCCTTTTCTGACCCTCTCCAATCCAACCTAATCTACTAGTTTTAATTTCAAAGTACTACAATCAAATTCGTCAAAACAATTTATTCCAAATCAGTCTAATCCCCTAGAAAGGGGTAAGTTTCTAAGAAAATGTGGTGCTGCGTGATTGGGAGAGTGAAACAGGGTAATTTCAAGTGAAATAGAGTTCATTTGCTTGGATTATAGTGGATTAGGTAATTTAGTATTATCAACTGAGTTGATGACGTAAATTGGCCACCGTAAAGAGTTTCAAACTTAGCCCTTAGTCATACGCTCTAACGAAGGGCTAACACTCGAAACGTCAGCTTTGGAACTCTTGAGTTTATGAATAATGTTATTGGCGAATTTGAAATGTAGCAAAAGTGGCTGTTACTTCAATTTCTCTCTTGCACGAAAGCTTAGAAAACGAAGGATTGGTTTTTAACCTTAGTTCCTGAGGTTTTACAACATATCTTTCATGATCTCTGCAAAATCCCCGATTTTTACGTACAACTTGACTGGTAATCGATTTCAGAATACAATGAAATAAAGGATTGTGCAAAACAACAAGGAGATCGAGGAACGAGCCGAGTGGGATGTTATCTATATTTTCTGAAGAGTAGATAAATTAGAACCCCGCTAATTTGAACAAAATACGATTTCCCCTGAGCTCGAACCCATTTTCCAGTCATTTATTATCAGCTAACACGAACACGACTTACTTGAACTCCCTGTTAACTCGAGCTAGTTTTACTTTCCTTTGGCTAAATTTACTTTAATAACTCCAACTTTAGGGAAAATCGTCGATCGATAAACATCAAAGTGTCACAACATAGCTCCAATCTTTAGTCGGGTTGAATAAGAACGTAATAACATTCATGTAAAACCTAATGGCGGACATATAACAACGCACTTAGCCAAATTTCCCAGCTTAGACCTTCTTATCAAAAAGCCACCATAAAAAAAATTGCCAGATGAAATAATATGAGTGTTGATTGTGCAAGATACAAAGTAGGGAAAATTTGTTATGAGGAAGATGAATTACTCAAAAAGCCATCTTCATCTTCTATTCAACTAAACGGCAGCATGAACTTACACTGATAATTTAATATCCGAGTCAAAACGGAATTTCTTTATTCTTTATCTGACCTCGTAACCTAAAAATTGTCCAATTCTCGACCTAACAGAAAATTTAGAAACTACGTAAAACCGCCGCCTTTTTTCAAATTCAGTTATCATTGTTTGCTTTACTGACTGAATGTTTTTCAAAACGCTTTTGTCTCTTAAAATCATTTCAATTTTGAGAATATTCACAGCCCATTTGGACATTCTAAACCTACTTCAGAACCTAGCAGAAGGTTCGCACTCATTTCTTGACTTATCTGGTGGTAACAGGTACCTATTGATCTTAGAACCCGGTGAGTGACCTTTTAAAATTATTGACGAAAATGTATGGAAATCCGGTTCGCCTATATCCTCAAAATTTCTCACAACGATAGAAGCAACCCCTTATCCCCTTTAACGTGGTTTAAACTGCAGTGTTGGGATTTAGCTTTTACTTGAATCAATCAATTTAAACTGATTCCCTTTCACGATACTTTTGGAAAACCTTTTTGAAAGAAAGAGAAATTTTCTCTAATAATGAAATAAGAGGAAAGAAAAGCTGTGCATTCATCGCGCAAATGGGTGCACTTACAAGAAGACTCAAAAGAACCGTTGTCTAAAAATAAATTTTTTACATTCCTTTTCCTTGATACGACGATTCCTCAGGGTAGTCCTTTGTACTACTATCGAAAAGCATGAAAATCAAAGTAACAAAAATAGTAAGCCTCTGCTAATAGTTCGAAGGTTTATTGTTATTTGGCCGCCTAAGAATTCGAAGAATAGATATCATTAATTCATGAAAATACATTAGATTGCTTCAGAAAAATCTAGGCCATTATGGTATAACACATTAGCCTAACCCTACCTGACTTTCCTCGTTCCTAAGTCCAAATTAAATAAACACATTTGCTGCGTTTCTGAAACTTCAAAATAGCATAACTATTTTAATCCCTTGCCTGTTGTCAGAGCAATACGTTGTTCATTTCCTACTTCAAATAGGTCATTGCCTAAATGACTCGGAGCTCTTCAAGCAGGTGGAGTAATTTGATACATCTTTCAAAAACCAGTGTCAACGTCATGCATTAAGAACAACAAAATTACCGAACGTCCATCGCAAACTTTTAAAATATATTGAACCCTCGCTTACAGCTACAGCACGACTCTTCAGCCTTCCGTTATTGCTGTGATCGCCACCTATCAACTCTTGGTGAGTAACCATGGAATGCATAACTCTGCCAATTATGAAATCTATTTGTTATTATTGATCTCTAAAGCAAAGTCAGATAGCTTGTTTTGTTCTGGAACTAACTCACTTCCCCTTTCCCTTTTAATGAAAAACACCGCCACATTTCAAGTAAGTTGCAATAAGAAAAAAAAAACGTTTTTTAAATCGTATTTTACAAACTTTTTCTTCGTGTGCTAGATAAATCCTCTACCCTCAGTTTTTATGTCACACTGATCGAGGTAATTACAAACAGTACTATGTTGGTGGAACTTAAAATCTCTCGGCAAATAGGGCACTTCCTTGGTTAAATCTATGATAGCACCTCGTCTCACACCTGTATTAAAAACAAGGTACAAAGTGAGAGTTTCTACGAAATCAGTCATACTACGATTTGAATTAACTTAAGACTTGAAAAGTTTTTCAAAACGAGGAGAGTTTTACTATTGCTCACTCAAATATGTTATTTCGGTAAGGTACAACAAAATGAGCTTCTGAATCTTCACCGGTTGTCCCCACGTTGACTTTGTTTAATCAGTTTATATGTTTCCGCTCATTTACAAATTTATCAATAAAATGATTCAATGACACCCTGAACATTCCTACAAGGGAAAACAAGAGTTATTTCAACTTAGACAATTCGTCACAAATTTTCTAAGGAATAAAAATGATTCTAGTGTCACATTTTTCCTTAACCAAACAGACCGGACAAGTGTGTTGGCAAACGATCGACAAAGCGACCACAAAAAACCTTTAAGAAGACCTCTATTATTAAATACACGAGAAAGCGGCTCTATTATCTTGTCCTTCCACGTGTAGTTCCATTTTTTCCTATCAATAATTTCAAGTAACAAAGAATTCAGTTCTTTCTCTCAATGCCACGTGTCCAAGCAATAAAAACCTTAGTTCCAAATCATTGAGAAGGGGAAGGAAAAAATGACGAAAGTTAACGTTTATTTTGCTACAAATTCCATCATTGCCATGTAGAAGGTTAATTTCTTTCATGAGATGAAAAGACCTGAGTTTATGATCTCCTGCATATTTTCAGTAAAGATCAGTTATTTAATAAGCGGTGTAAATGTGTCATTCACTACGTAACATGCTAACCTGAGTAATTTTATATTGACCCATATTTGCTTAGCCGGGCTCATACTAAAACACATGCTCGTTGCAAAAATGAAAGGCGACACATGAAGACTATCTTTCTCACCAACGTCGTGTTACTATGATGATAATTTCAACGAATTTCCATTTAAATGCCTTTAAACTGATGTTATAACTTCATACCTGTTTGATGTCAATTTCAAAGTATTGTTAAGGCGCAGATAGGTGGAATCTATCGAGAGAGTGTTCCACGTTAAGGGGAAGGCACCAGGGACTTTGTCCCTTTGGTTCGTCTTTGATCTCTGTTCTCTGCCACAGGTCTGTTTAATACAGATTCAATCTCTTTTCTTTAATCACTTTGTGGCAGACTCTGAATCTCATCACTTCTACCAAACACTAACTCTGATTCTTACGAAGTACTAACTTGTAAACTAACTGACGGTATCTGAATCCTGACCTACTTTCACGAGAATTTTACGAATGAACAACTACAACTGCGAAAGCCAAGAAAGAAAAAAACTTTAGTAGTGTGGGTCTTGGGCGAGAAAAGAAGACGAACTGGGCCCTTCCACTACTGAATGATGGCCAAGTTAGTCAACATAAGGTAATAGCTAAAACCCAATTGAATATAACTTCAAACTTCGAATTCCAAACTTACCGAAACACAAATGAATCACTGAATCATACGGCCCTATAATTTACTGACTCCACGAAAGTAATGAAGTAAAAGACTGTCTAAGCACTCTACTGAACAGTTCTTAATTCATGTCAGCTTATTTAGATCCTACATAAGACGACCGGACCAAGGGAAATGAAGACAACAATCGTTTGCTGTTTAGTAATTGCTATCTCAGTGTTAGCCGTTACCGAGTCCTCGAAAAGAAACTCCACCGGTAGATACAAACAATTTATATGTCTCTTAATTGATTACATGCGTGAGTTTATGGCATCTGTTCGTTGTGCCAGGTCTGTCGTGGGAGTTGTATCAGCATTCGTTTCCTGCGTCCTCCATCTAATTTAGTCATTCGTGCAGTTTTGTTTCTGCGAAGAAAAAGACACGTCTGAACTCGTTTTTTGGTCGCATAAATTGACTTTTTGTGGCCTGATTGTGGAACGATTTGTCTTTAAAGAAGTGTGTTCTGGTCATGGTTACGCACTTCCCCTTGAAGTGCGTCATGGTCGTGAGCGTTGATTATGTGTTGCGTTTTAATGGAAAAAATAATTGTCGAAGTAGTTGTCATAATTTATACCCTTTGCCTGGTCGTTGCAAAATTCATCTAGTATGACCACGCGGTCCTTAAAATGAAGTTTGAAATCTTCTTTGACTAGTATTATTTCACTAAGGAAATTAAACCTGCACCAACTAGCTGAAGACAAGGTACCAGCGCTCTGAGATGACTTTTTTTTTACAGCATTACCGGAACAGGCCGATGAGAACGAGCTACCTTACCCAGCGATTTGAAACCAATCAAACGCAGCTAACGAAAGCTATAGTAAAAACCCGCATATAAGAACCTAGGTTTTTTAAGTTAACCTCCGTACGTTCTTATATGAATGGAATTAGACTATATTTAGGTTCTAAATCAGGTTCTTAACACTTGTTTTAAAAAGGGAAATGTAGTGCATTAGGACAGCGGTAGTTCGTAAATATATCCGGGAACTCAAAGTGTGTGAGAGCCGGAAAATGAGGAGTGATGTACTTCGTGCGCTCGGAATAAAGCGTATGTTTTTAAGCCTTTGTGACGTGCCTTTGTGGCTTCACTACATTACAGGAAACCTCTATTCTTGGGTGTATGTCGACCTCATAGTGCCCTCCTTTACATGGTTAGTTAGTCAGATATGTTGCACAGTTATGGATGTATTGACAATACAGTATTGTGGTCTTATTAAACTGCCAGTGTTTAGGCTAGTTTTTTTTTTTTGCCCTTTTTGTATCGCATGCGATGTACTGTAATATATCTGAAAAAACTCTGTATGCCTAGAATGGTTCTTATGTGAAGGGTGAAGGGTGCTTAGCCTGGAAATTTTAGCCAAACATGATGGGTTAAATTAATTCGAGTTAAGGTGTTAAATTAAACCGATGAAACTACCTGATCCTTGTTTTGCAATATTGTAACCGATTGTATGATTTTCTTCAGAGGAATCGCCAAACGAAGGGAAAAAATTTCTCTGGGACGGACCTACCGCTTCCGCTTTTTTCGTTGAAGGCAAGCGTCCAGTTGGCCTTCCTGACATTAATCGAGGAAAAGAGATCCAACAAGGAACACCCCCTTCTTTTGTTTCTCTCTTTGATCCATCCACAAACACTCCTTTTTACTCAGCCTACAGAGTTTTACCTGAGCAGGCAAAGTACATTGGCACGAATTCGAGGCCAAATGCAAAGTGGAGGAATCCTCCCGGTACGTAAATGGCTATTTGACAATTATTTATTACAAGACCGATTATTTGGAGGACAATCAATCATAAAGTAAATCCAAAGGCTTGGAGTATACCCTGCGTCACTTCAAAACACGCAAAGTCACTAATGAAGTGGAGAAAGCCACCATATTGCTTCTTCGTAAATTTTTTTCTCTATGTTTTCAAGAGAAATGAAAGTGCAATTAGAAGGCTTCTTTTTCCCGTAATTTCAGAAAAGAGATAAAAAAGCGACATGATTCCCTGGAATGGTCAAAAGATCACTTTCAGTCTATAACTAGTAATTTAATCATCGTGGTAAACGACAGAATATCACCACTATCGTCATGAGAATATGATTTGATAATTTAAAGTCAGAAGTAATCAAGTTATCTGTATTCATCGAAGAATGTGGCTTATGATTATAGGTGTTTCTGGTCTCAACGATGCTTATAAACAAGCCAACCGAGAAGCTCAAAAAAAGTATGGGGATCAACTTACCAGAGGCCATATGAATCCCTCAGGTATCAACTCCTTTGACAAAACTTACATGAAGAATACTTTCACTCTTGCGAATACTGTACCTCAGTTTAAGGCATCAAACAGCGGACCTTGGAATGATTTTGAGAATAAGATAAAAGAATATGCCAAAACTACCTGAGGGAGCAAAACTCGCCAAGGAACCCTTTACCTACTGACAGGCAGATCTGAAAATGGCCTCAAAGACGTCCCGGAGCCGTCCATTACCAACACATTTACTGTAAAAACTAAAACATTAAGCCTTGATACTCCTCAGGCTGTTTGGACGGCGGGATGCTGTGTGTGGAAGGTGACCGGAAAGCCAACTGAGGAGGCCGAGTCCTTTGCAGTGATGAGCAACAATCACTATGACACAAACCAGCTACACCAGACAGAAATGAGCGTAAACGACCTAGAGAAGCGCTTGAAGGCAGCAGCATCGAAAGCGAAAGTGGATTTGTTTCCAGGAAATACAAATTGTGCTCGAAACTACCATCCCCTACCATGATAAATCGTCGAGAAATAAATACTGGGAACAGGCTATAAGCATTCTAAAGAAACTGTTCTAGAAACTATCATAAAAACAAAACAAAAAAATCGTTCCTTTGATCATAGACCACAGTAAAACATGCATGTAACACCCTAATTTAAGACGAAAAATAAATGGAGGTTAGCATTTCAAACTGATCAAGTAAAAGCTTACTTGCCATAGGCCTCGAGTTAGGCAATGAATAATTGTATTTATTGCAGCAAGATATCTTTGTTGATTGTGCAATAAAATAACCTTTAATTGCACGACTTTGTCCGTGGAAAAGTCGTCGAAATTTATCTCAGTCCGCTCCATTGCACTCTAATACAATTTAATCCGACCCAAATCCACTCTAGTTAACCATAAGAAATTCTAGCTACGCCTTTTCCGACCCACCACAATCCAACCCAATCTACTAGTTTTAATTTCAAAGTACAACAGTCAAATTCGTCAAAACAATTTATTCCAGATCAGTCTAATCCACCATAAAGGGGTATGTTTCTAAGAAACTATGGTGTTGCGCCGATAGGAGAGTATAACAGGGTAATTTCAAGTGAAATAGAGTTCACTTGCTTGGATTATAGTGGATTAGGTAATTTAATATTATCAACTGCGTTGATAACGTAAATTGGCCTCCGTAACGAGTTTAAAAGCTTAGCCCTTCGTCATTCTCTCGAAAGGCTAACAATCAAAACGTTAGCTTTGAAACTGTTTACGGCGGCCAATTTATGTTATCAACTGAGTTGATTATACAAAAAATTACCTAATCCACCATAATCCGAGCAAATGAACGGTAGTTCACTTGTGTCTACCCCAACGCCTTCTAAATCGTTTTCATTCTTGGCTAACTCACCTTAATTCACTCCAAAGTACACTACCTTGCCTCATCTGCATCTAGTTTTGTAAAAACTATTCATGAGGTTATGAATGCTGTTATTTCCTCTCACGCAACAACTATTCATTCATTTACTCAATCACTAACTCATTAAATTCACTTATTTACTCGCTCCTTTATCATTGCTTCATTCACTTATCCTTTCGCCAACTGTCTTTCTCTATTAATGAATGGCCAATTTTAGAATCCTTTATGGGGTATACACAAGTTGATAGCACTAGGACATTATTCAACAGTACATGACATCTACTCATTATGTTCAGTTACAATTGAGATCTGCCGTCTAGCATGATAAAACACAAACAAGTTCATATTTAAACAGATCGTAATTTTCATTCTATTATATTAACAAAGGAATGACCGACGTTATTCCCCAAAATATCATTTATAAGTACACAGTATACTAAAACAGTGGATGGCGTTAAAGGCGCGCTGCGAATATTCTTTGCTCTTCATCTCCGAGCAACTCGCAAGTTTTGCGCTCCCTCGCGTTGCAGGAATAAATTAGTTAAAATTATTTTTTTGTGCTACATTATGTTACTGTTTTCGCGTATACTTAAACTATACACTTTAGTGTCGGCAGTCAGCGGTGGATAATTACCTTGCTTCGCGGCTCGGTAAATATCCACCACTAGCCACCTTCACTTCAGCGGGGAGTTGTTGATGAATTCATGGATTTGGCCAAGCCTAAAAGCGGAGCTCCAGTTAGTTTGTTTTCTGGTTCTTCACTTTATCAGGATTTCTTACTGGTTGTTGAAAAGTTTATTCAAGGAAGTTTAGGGACCTTTTATTAATTATGTAGAGGGGGGACGTGGAGTCAATGACTTTTTGAAGAGCCTTAGTAGGAGCGGAGGCTATTTTCCTTTCTTCATTTAAAAAATAAGGGGGTTATCAACTTGTTACATGCTCTGTGGACAATAAGAGTGATTTGTCAGTGATAATGACTTGATTATTTGTGCAAATAACCAGAGGAGGATAAAAAGCAGGACATGAAATTTTCGGGCTACTCTTATTTTAGTTTCATAATCTGGCTATCAAGCTAAGGCGTTCCTATTTTTGCCTTGCGTATTATGCGGATGCTTATTAATGTAAACTTAATGCATCAAAATTAAAAAAAGGTACTCAAAATCTACATTTATGAGCCCCAAAAGATTAAAGAGGAGGAGGCAGGTTAAAGAAAAAACTTAAACTAAAAGAGGAGGGCACCCAATAATTTCAGGCCTCAATGAGACGACCCTTGCTTTTCCAGTTTCCCACCTTTAAAAACTTACATATCATGTCAAAAATCGATTATCTCAAAATTCCTCTTTTGTGGAATGGGTATCAGCATTTCTAAGAACACCTTAATTGAAAGCTTGAGCCTGAGTATTTCAAAATGCTACTCAAATAAATTTTCATGTTGAAATGTGGTACATGTAACTAAAGCAAAATTTTGCTTACACAATTCTGAACTAAGGATGTCAGGCTACAGACTCGCCTGCAACAACTTTTGAGGGATTAAAAATCAACAAAGAACAAAGACATAAATATGAAAAACAGTAACAAAACAAGTCTGAATTCTGAAAGAGAATCTACATTACAATCATCAAACCCTGTGTATCCTCGGAAAAAGATACGTTCGATTATTGTCATAACTTCGCCCATGCATTCATGCTTGCAAGAAATCATTGATTTTTGCCATTTGAGGTGCTACTGTACCTACGGTGGTTCTGCAGAACAGACTGTACACTCAAATTACGTGGAAAGTTCACTCCTGTATAATTATAGATTGACATTTCAATTATCTCAGCAAACTGTAATCATCCGGTAAAAGGTAAGATGCATTTACCAAGTGCTTAAGTTTCCCAAATCAACTTTGCCACAGTCAAGTTTACTCCTTTTTTTGGGCTATCTTCCGCTTTACCATCCTGTAGCATGTGAAAAAAATCAAATCACGGTTAGTCATGTATTAATCAAATAACTCAAAAGTTATAATTTTTTTCTTATTTCCTGCTTCCTTTGGGCTCCAGAAACGCTAAATGATGCTGAAGAGAAAGTACGACACTTATTGAAACATGTTCTACTTTAAAAAAAAAAACATAGGCAATGATTAAATCTAACCCAGTTTGGATGTAAAAACCAACATCTAATCAAGCTGCAGTTCAATACGAAAAACCTCAATGTCTTTTTCCTACCATAATTATACATGTAAATATCAGAAACCAATTACAAAACCAACTCTCTTCAAATTCCATGATCAATAGCCACTTCAGTGTGATTATTTTTATGTTGTCGTGTACTTTTTCTTCTTTAAGTTTAGATTACCATCAAGGCTATTCGATAAAAAATTACTCCTTCGTCCTGCATGGCTCTCCAAAAGCAGGATATTGCAAGGTGCTAAAGTAAAGTCCCTCTCCTTGCGTTGAGAATAGGGACGAGGTACGAAAGCGCTAGACCAGTCATGCATATGAAAGCACGCACGGCTTTTATAACAGTGCAGCTGCGATTTGACTGCAACCAACGTAACCCTTTTGAGACTGCAGCCATGCGATAAAACTCTTAGGTATTTCTGATGACCCAAGTGGCGAAGTGTTGCAAAGCTTGAAGGTTACGAAGGTAAGTGGTTGCCGTGTTCGACCGAACGGAGCGACATTGAAATAATTTATTGAATTTATTGAATTGTTAATTATGGTGTTGGTTATTGTCATTAGGATCATTCTATCAAACATATGCTTAATACTGCTGATTTGAGCTGGGTCAGACATTGAAGTCAAAACAACTTTAGGGATAAGATATTAAAAGGGTAGATTTCGAACAAATGTAACGCTAAACTTTTGCCAGTAGGAAGCATTTCCCACGCAGCGACAAAGGGAAATCGGGAGTTGGGAAAGTAGCCGACAACTACTGTGGAGCATAAACTTCGTCTTATCTGGTTTGAAAAGAAGACGACTCACCCAAAGCACCACCAGCGAATTAACTGGAGAACACCATTGATATCAGAGCCTGCACTCTATTCACAAGAAAATGTAAACTTCAATGTCGTCCGCATAAAGCTCTCAGGAAAAAAATGTCTGAAAACTGATGGTACATCGTTCACTTTAATAACATATAAAAAGCTCTTGGGAATCCTACTGCTATTGATCCGACCGGGAATTCGGAGAATAGATAACATTAATTCATGAAAATATATTATATTGCTTTAGAAAAATCTGGGCCATTTTGATGCCACACGTTAGCTTAACCGTACTTGACCTTCCCCTTTTCTAGGTCCAAATTAAATAAACACAATTGCTGCAAACTAAACAATTCTTTTAATCCATTGTAATTGAGGCAAATGGAGTAAAAGAACACTCCTTATTTATTACCCTCTAATAGCTCGACTCAGTCGATCGGGAAATCGGACAGCAATGTTTTCCTCTATTTGTTGGTAGGTGCTCCTAATGTCAAAAAAGCGTACTCGAAAGCAATTTTAGAGTAACCATTAAGCAGAGGACATCTAAATCCGCCTGGAATAAACTCCTTTGACATGAACTACATGAAGGCCCCACTCACCCAATACATAGCAAGAATTCGAGACAAGAATAACTAACTATGCCAAGGACACTTGTAGCCCTTCTACCTCTCGACTGGCAGATCTGAAAATGACCTTATCATTGATAAAGGGTAACCTGTTCAGGACCTTTCAAATAAAGTACCAATTGTCTATAGTAAAAATAAATTTGTAAAAAATATATTTATACTTGGAACACCTTGTTCTATTTGAATAGCGGGCAGAGAAAAAGTAGAAGGCAGAGAAAGCAGAATCCTTTACCGTGATGAGCAACAATCAGAAAGAAAAACAAAACCTACACCAGACAGAAATGAGTGTGCTTGACCTACAGAAGCTCTTAGAAGCACCATCATAAAAAGTGAATTTGTTCCGAGGAAATATTGAGTGTGCTAGAGCTATGTAACAAAATAAACAAGAAGAGGCAACCGAAAAAGTAACAGTGCGTATGCCCTCTAAGGTCAAAAGAAATTTTCAATCTCAACTATTGCATATTACCAATAGTTTATATATCAATTGGAAAATTCATTCGATTTTTCTTTCGCACACATTTTGCCCAGCATACCTTTAGTAATGGAAAAAGCAATCAATGTAAGAGTGGAGTATGGTTTTATTTTAGTTACTCGCGTTATTTACCCATGCGCAGAGTCAACAAAATTTAAAGGGAAAAAAAAGAATCGTTTCAAATTTGTC